TAAGCTAAAGGCTAAGAAGATAGAGAGGGGTCTCAAGGCAAGAAATGTTAAGAATGCACCATTAGAAGAGAAAAAAAAAAAGAGGCAAGGATAACCCCACCTAATACATCAGAAGCATTCAGCCCTGCTAAATGTCTCAACATTGATTAACCCAGGGATACTGATTTCAGATTGTGACTTCTAGGATTGTGACAACACATTTGTATTGTTTTAGAGGACTAAGTATGTCATAGTTATTTTCACAGAAGTAATAGGAAACTAATATAAAACCTTTAATTGTGAACCAAAATTTGAGTTCTATGTGTACTGGACTATAACTGTTTTTGATGATTTCAACCACTTAAAATGTTAACATTATTCTTAGTTTTAAGGTTGTACAAACATTGGTGGTGGGCCAGATTTGGCCTGTGAGTTGTAGTTTAAAATGTCCTAAATCAAGGCCTTGTATGGTAGCCTACTCCTTTAATCCAGCACTCAAGGCAGAGGCAGGAACTCTTATGAGTTTGAAGCCAGCCTGCTCTACTTAGAGAGTTTCAGGCCAACCATAATTACCTGGTAAAATTATGTCAAAAAAACCCAAAAAAACACCCCCCCAAAATAAAACAAAAAAGAAAAAAAATACAACATAAATTATTAAATGACCACATTACATAAAATTCTGAAGATGTAAAAAATGGAAAAAAAAAGGATGTCTAAATCAAGTACTTAACAATTCAGTCATTACTAAATAAATAATACCTAATTTGCATGGCTTTTTACTTGTTTCAAAATTAAAATGTTATTAGTGTTAGCATTCTGTCTAAGCTCTGCCTCACGGTTACCTGGCAACAGCCAGGTAGGCCAGACACACTATGGTCCCTGTTCTAGGACCTTCTCCCTTTGGTGAAATTTTCCTCTCTTCTTTGAGACAGTTTCTCTCTTGCTGCTGAGGAATTCCAGGGTAAAGTGCTCTCTGGCTCAGGATCACCAGTTGCGAGTGTAGCCCCAGGCCCCCACGTGATGATCTGGAGGTCTGGACTGTGCTAGAATCTCTTTGGTTGTTAATGATGACTTCAGGATGCTTGTAGGGCCAGTTAATAACCTTATTCTTTCACCCATGGGTCGGTCTTGCCACCTTGTCCCTACTTAATGGATGTCTTGGTCTTGGTAACAAGCATTATTTCTACATGGCCACTAAACTGGCACTTTCTAGTGATCCATAGCATAGTCTTCCCCCTCCCCTCCTCCCACTGCCTCCCGCCGCCCCTAGTCATTTGCTCCTGCTGCAGCTGCTGTGGCCACTAGTTCGGCAGGTTCCGCTGGTTTGCCATCAACCCTGCCCCCAGCCAGGGACTCTGCTTGCTGCCCCCTCCCATCTCACATTCTGCTGGTTAGTTCTGCTCCCAGTGTGCGAAAAGCAGGTCTGGCCCCGCCCCTTGCGTCCTGCCTTGGACACCGTGAGACTTGCTTTCCCACAGCGATCTCCAGCCACCCCTACACTTGCAAGCTCTCTCTCGCCAGGGACGCCTGTGCTCTGCCCGCCAAAGCGGTCCCTGGGCCCTGCCTGACTTCTCAGCCCGGCCTGGAGCTGCGGAAAAGGCAGCTTTGGCCCTTCCTGCCCCCTATCTGCACCTGGCTCCAATTCCCCTTGACCCTGACACTGCAGCAGCTCATCCCATCTGCCCTGTCGCCAGTTCCGTTCTTTGACCACTCTGACCACTATTGTAGTTGCTTTTGGATGTCCAGCTTGGCTGCCCGCTACAGCTGCAAGAAAAACAGCTTTCACCTTGTTCAAGAAGCCGCTTTCCTGCGCACCCGAGGGAGCCCCCCACCCCCACCCCCGACTTATAAAGTGAGGGATAGCGGTGCTGCACCCCGAGAATAGCCTGCACGTTGCTAAGAGATGGAGGCTATTGTAGTCGCTTCCTTTTCCCCGCCCACCACGGACTCCGACAGCCTGAAGCACGGGGCCACGACTTCCAGCTACTGGGAGGAAGTCCTGCTCCCGCTCAGCAGAAGTAAACACACCCGCTCAGCTGCCGGCTGTCACCACTGCTGTCTAGAAATGAAGGCAGCGACAGCCATACATGCTCTCCTGTCTCCTGAGGACTGCTCTGCTCTCTTTACAATTCGTCTCATCAGCGATACATACCCACGTGCGCACGGCCTGCCCTCACAGTCCGAGTCACAGGCCTGAACCCACCTAGACAAACTCACTTTCTGTCACCATGATCTCTCTACTTACACAACCTGCAAAATTACTTAAGATTTGATTTGATTGATTGATTTATTATTATTTGTATTTATTTTATTCATATCCTGTCTTGATAGATGATGATTTTTTACTATTGCCATTAAATTATGGTGTGCTCTATTCAGATATAACCAAGCCTTTAATCTTGTCAGAAGCCTGCTAATTATGAAAATTTTATGACAGACAGACTCTTGCAAAACCTTTAACAGTTTACTCCCACAGTGGACAAACCTCAGAGTCAAATGACTTACCTAAGTCATTTCTCATGTCACATGTATTCATTCCACAGAGAAAAATGCTCTTTATCTTCTGGGCTTGAAGGCTAGACTGACTCTGCCCAAGTTGCCATGGAGACCACAGGGAACTGCTGGCTAGTGGACTCTGTCATTTTTAATTGATACATGACTGCTAGATTGTTGTTTATTCTTTCTCAGATTTCTGACTACATTGACAGCTAAGGTAGTTTGACAGCTAGAAAAAGCTTTCACAGATGTAATCGGTTAATTCCTTACCTAAACTTTGATTCCATGGATTAAATGCTTCATGTTTCCTCCTCTTGCTATGTCACTGTCCCAACAATTTGAGTTCCTAAAGACTGTACATGTTAACTCATGTTGTTATCTTATAACTATAAGCTACAGGAAACCTACTCAGATCTACCTCTCATGGATCCAACAGACTATCAAATAGACTTCACCCAGATAAGTACATCTGCCTAAAGTTCCCGCTTACTACCTATTCCAGAGGATGGGATTCCTCTGGGTTTCGGTACAGCCCTGGTTGTCCTGGAACTCACTCTGTAGACCAGGCTGGCCTCAGAAATCCGCCTGCCTCTGCCTCCCAAGTACTGGGATCAAAGGCGTGCGCCACCACTGCCCTCCTCTGGGTTTCAAATGTACATCTAAGGAAAATTCTTTCTTTCTTTCAAACACACTTAATCTTATTCTCTACCTATAATATATGTGTGTGTGTGTGTGTGTGTGTGTGTGTGTGTTTTAGCATCTTGTCAAGCCCAGGTGCCTACATCTAGGACAGCTCCAGAGAAGCAAAGCTGAGATGCTCCAGTCTCCTCTCACAGACAGACGCTTCTACTGGACTTGTTCCTTCTGATCTATCCACAAGGAAACAGCCAACTTTCCTAAGATTGGACAAACATCCCCATACCCATTCTTCTAGGTTTCCTAGAGATACGTAGCCCCTGATGCCAGCAGGAAGTAGTCAGATATCATGATGACTCTATTCTTGCTTCACCATCACCCCTTTCTAAGTTTTTCTTTTTTAATTAAACCAAAATGGGTGAGGGGGGAATGTTAGCATTCTGTCTAAACTCTGCCCCATTAGGCCTGACCCACTATAAAAGGGGCTTCTTGTCCCCTCCTCTACTATCCTCTTGACTCCCCTCCCCATGCCCTGAATAAACTCTATTCTATACTATACCATCATGTGGCAACAATCTCTGATTTGCATATTTAGATTAGTGATAAGTAGGCACCCATGCCTGTGGGGCCATTTTTAGCCACAACTATACATATTTTCTTGATTCCAAGTTTTCATGCTTTTTCCAGAAAAGACAACAAATATTTCCTGCTCTATCTTTGGATACTATAACTGAATGCATGTTATGTGTTCAATATTTATTGTACGAACTAGTAATGGTCAATTTGGTTGGGCCATCTCCAATATAAGGTCAAACATTTTGGATGTTTTGGTCAGGGTATTTTTCAATGAGATTAACATTAAAATCAGTGAACTTGGAGTAAAGTAGATTGACTGTTGTGTGTGTGGTTTATCTAATTGGAGGAGAAACTTGAGTGGTGGGATTAAAGGCATGTACTAGCATGCCTGGTCCCCACCTAGTTCTTTAATTGCATTTTCAAGGTAACTGTCATTTATTGACCCATTTAAAATTTATTGTCCCTTCCATGTTTGGGAAAGCTGTTAGACCTAAAAAAATGTCTTTCTAATCAAGATACTTAAGGTCTGAGGTGTAAGGGAGAGTCTACAGGCAACTACTGCAAAGTATGGTGACTACATAATATAAAGAATCAGAGGTGTTAGCCGGGCAGTGGTGGCACACACCTTTAATCCCAGCACTTGGGAGGCAGAGGCAGGCAGATTTCTGAGTTTGAGGCCAGCCTGGTTTACAGAGTGAGTTCCAGGACAGCCAGGGCTACACAGAGAAACCCTGTCTCAAAACAAACAAACAAACAAACAAAACAAAACAAAACAAAACAAAACAAAAAAGAAAAGAAAAGGAATCAGAGGAGGTGTTACATTCCTGAAACGAGCTAGACAAAGTAGAATGGATCCTGGCTTCCACATAAAGGGAAAAACAAATACCAGGGCAGGAAGGGAACAAGCACTGGGTGGACAGTGATAGGATTCGTAATAAGTGGTAAGAGATATGACTAACAATAGAGGCAGAGGCCAGATAAAAGCAGCTCTTGCACATTTTATTAGAATGAGGTTTAGCTGAGACTCAGTGAATAGTTATTCCAAAAGAAAAACAGCTTAAAATGACAGAGAGTCATTTGCATTTTAAAACAGAGTCTTACTGTCTTCCAGCTTACTATGTAGCTTAGACTGGCCTTGAACTTACAGAATCTTCTTGTTTCAACCTCTGAAGTGCTGGAATTTTAGGCATGAACCACCACAATTGGCTGGGTTTTGTTTTGGTTTTGGAGGTCTGTTTGAATCAGAGCACTTGCTAGAATCAAGGACCCAGACTGTTCTATTTCTATTCATAGATAATAACTGTAGCAAAACAGACTCTTAAAATAAAGGCAGTTTTATTATAAAAATTTTAAAACGTGATGTAAAACGACAGTCTGAGAACACTGCATAAGAAGAAATACTGTGAAAACGTGAATGGTCACATGTAAATTTTACATTGTCTGTGAAACATACTTAAAAATAATCTTTATACTAAAGTGTCTTCAAGAGCACCATCATTTGAACAGAAGATATTTTGCATATCAGAATTCATCTTTGGCCTGTAATTAAGAAGAAAAATGTTAAGAGCCACTAAAAAAAAAACTTAGGAATCAAGAATGCTCATACCAGATAACTATTTTTTCCTAAAGATGAAAGGAGGGGAGGAAAAAAAATGCAAGTTTCTTCTAGGTGTTCTAAATGCTCAGGACTATTTCTAGAGAACCAGAATCACCCAGGTATAAAATCACCTGCTTACATGGGAGTGAGTGATGGAGATCTCAAATATCCAGGGATCTGTGTCACCATTATACCCTGTGTTATGGATGGTGTGTATGAACAAGATTTGCCGTTCTCACTCAACATTCCGATACTTAGTGGAAGACAATGATTTGGTACCTACTCTTTCTAAGTCATTAAGAGACATAAGGGAAATGGAACTGCCCCATATTATAAAGAACCAAAACAAATATGATATTTATTTCATTATTGGCTCTTGTAATTTCATGGGTCTTACAGCACAGGAAGGGATTAGCATAGATAGTGTACCCTTTAGGGGCTAATGAGTTAGTGGTAAATTATTTCTCAAAAAATAAAGACAAACCTATAAACAACCAAAATTCCTACTTACAGACTTTCAAGGTATACAAAGTCCTGATAATAAGTTACCAACATCTTAACTAGCATTCAGAATTCCTTCATATTTCACAGACAGTGATCTATCAAGGGAGCTGGTTCTGTCACACCAGTAGAGCCAGGAAGTGAGTCTTGTTACCTTTCTCCTATGGCATGTACAAGGGAAGAGGTCATCCTCAGACTGTGGCACTACCTTCTTCATACCCTCTCGAATTTGGGGCTCACTCACTTGTAAATTGGCATAGCCCTGTTAAACAGCAATACGAAAGTATTTCTTAAGCAGCTTTTTAAATATATTCACCAAATGAGACAAGCTGGGAATTATAAAGAAAGCATTCATTTAATGCATATGTACCTAATGATGACCCAGTGTCCTCCATATCCATTTTAAATGCTCAATACTGTTTGTGCTGTGAACACTGGCTACCAATTCCTAATATACCCCTTATTAGTCTACTCATGTGTGTGTGTAATAAATATGTTGGTGTATGAAGACCAGAGTCAGACATCACATTAGAGGCAGAGTCTCTCTCAGTGAACCTGGAAGTTTGACTAGAATGGCTGGCTACCAGCCCGGGGTATATGGTGTGTATGAACAAGATTTGCCATTCTCACTCAACCTTCCGATACTTAGTAGAAGACACTGATTTGGTACCTACTCTTTCTAAGTCATTAAGAGACAGAGCTCTTGTCTCTGCTTCCCAGTGCTAGGATTACAGATAAGTTTTTGCCACAAATAGATCTTCACAGGGTGCTAGGTATCCTACCTAGTCTCTTTATGCTTGTAAAGCAAGCACTTTATCCACTGAACTATCTGTTTAGCCCTATCTTGTTTTGTATGTTTGAGACAGGCTGTCACTACAGTTGGCCTAGTGATATGTAGATCCCACTGGGATCAAACCTGCTGTAATCCTTTTGTCTTTACCTCCTGAGTGATAAGATTAGAGGTGTGTCCCTCTACATTTAGCATATCCACATTTTAAAAACATTGTTTTGGTTTTTTATTATGTATCTGAGTGTGGGTATATGCATGAGTGTGAATACCAAGAGAGGCCAAAGGTATCAGAGGTCCTGAAACTATAGTTGCCAGCAATCATGAGCTGCCTGATATGGGTCATAGGGACTGAATTTAGGCTCTTTGCAAGAACAGTGTGTGCTTTTAACTGGTGAACAAATTTATATGACTAAATATTTCCTCATAACTACCTCTGTTTTAAGTATAAATAATGTTACACAAATCCTCCCAAGAAGGAGAATAGAGCCTATTTCTTCCTTCTCCACTAAGGCTGCAACAAGTCTGAGTTATTACCTTGATTATATTCTTATTCTGCAATGGGCACTGTGCTAGGTATGGATGCTGTACATTAGCTAAGTAAATGACACAATCCAATGGATATTTAGATGCTCAGAGAGTAATCCCCCTAGTCTAGTTCATTCACTTTACGTAGCTCACTCTCGGTATCCCTTTACTACCTTCTAGGAAGGATTATAAAATAGACCAGTACAGATCAGAGACAGACCAACTTTGTTCAGTAGCAGAGCCCAAGACATGGTATTTAATATCTGTAAGTCTGAAACAAGAATTTGTTATTATTACTAGCAAAAATCTTGTTTACTTATACATTCTGTTTTTAAAGATAAGCCTTTTAAATCATCAGATATGTTGGGATTACAATGTATAAATTCTTGGTCCATGAAAATAAGTTTCAAAAAAAAGGTATGAGACAAAGGGGATGACTATACTTTGTACTTTGTTTAACTAATACTTTTTTTTCATATTTTTTATTGACTGCCTACAGTACCCCATTATTGCCAAGCAGTCCCCCATGCAAGTATTGAACAGATCCAATCCTGCTTAGCTCCCAGATTAGATAATCCCAGGCTTGTTTGAGGGAAGTATGACCATAGACCCCTTGAACTCTCAACCTGCCAGGCCATGGGCCTTTTCCTACCCACGTCTGGACTTGTTTTCCGTACATATAACCCCAGCTTCCAAATGCAGGCCTAATATTAATACTTTTCACTTGAAGTTTTCTACCTGTTTTTCCTTACAGTGCTCAGAACTGGACTAAATACCTCATGCATGCTAGATATGTACTCTACAGTAAGCTACATTCCCAAGCCCCAAATACTTCTTACTAATATCTCTATCTAATTTCTATCAAAGTGGTACATATATGTCCATATACTAATATACTTTTAAAACATTTTATGTAAAATATTGTTTGCTTGCCAACATGTTCAGTGCCAAGCAATATGAGGAGTGTGCATGTGCGTGTGTGTGAAAATACTAACCTGGAACAGTTTAAAGTAATAACAGAATATATCATCACCCATTAGATTATTTCTTGCAAATTCTTGTCCTGCTTTTGCTATCTTCTTTGCCTATAGAAATTTAAAAACAAAAGAAAACACCCTTTAATGGGACTTATTTATTTATTTTTGGCTTGCAGACATATGCAGATCTTAAGACTACACAGTGAGATGACCCAGAAAACACATCCTTGGGAGTAGCCTTATGTGGCAAAAGGTGCATTTCACAGAGTATGTTTGTTCAGCTCAGAGAGGTTTATAAAACTTGAAAGTACAAGTTGGCATGTGGGATGTCTTAGAGCTAAGCCTCCCTCGGAGAAGACAGTTAGACCCAAGCAAAGTAACAACTTATCAAGTACACAGAGTATGAAGCCTTGCATACTCTCTATTCAGTTTTCAGCCTTACTTGTATTAATAATTCCTCATTTTTTTCTATAGTAGTAACTGACATCTATTGCCAGATAGGTACTGCTTATGCCCATGACCATCTTACTGAAAGAGAAAACACAAACAAGGCCAAAGTTTAGCAGAGTGGTCAGCCAATCTAAAATGTGCATGCTACTCTTGGTCAGGCAGCATCCCAGGTACAGGTAAAAGCTGTATCTGAACATCCCAGTGTCCAGGCATGGTTCCAACACTCCTGTAGTACAGGGGTACAAGCAGGAGCAAGCATTCTTGAAAACTGACTTACCTCTGCATCATGGTCTTTTGCCCATTTGAGCTTTTCCAGCAGATCACTTAGGTTGCTTTTGACTGGAATGTAGTGTTTCCAGGGCTGCAGCTCATTGTAAAAATGTTCATAGTAGATGGAGTCCTGCTTCAGGACTACACTATCACCCACCAGTAGATAGGGCAGTCGGTATGCTGCCACAGTGCCATCAATATTTATCTGATACTTGTGCTGCAAAATAGGAGCATATACGAGCCTTTACTAAATTCCATTTTCTACTCATTTTCGTCCTCCTTCCATGAACCATTTTGCCATCCTCAGACTGACTTTCCCTCTCTGTTAAAATTTAATAAGTTCTCTTATAATACACTCTGTTGACCTAGAGCTAAAGGTTCATATGGCCCCAAATTTCCCAAACACAGTTACATATCTAATAGTGAAGCAGTCAGAAAATTAATAATATGGATGTCCTGAGGCTACAGCATAAACAAAGGTGGAACTGTGGTTTTTAAGGCCTTTGCTTCTTTGTTGACTTACATGTGTAGCTGCAGGCAGCACATTCTGGGCCATGTTAACAGTGTTTTTAAAATATGACATGGCTATACATATTTCTTAAGGGAATAAGTAAGCTTTGGGGTAAAAACATCTATGAATAATAGTATAGAAATCAGTAACTCTAGATGTAGAAAATTTAACATGCAAGAAGAAGCCAAGTGATGAATGAAATACTGCCCTTGAGGCTAGGAGATGGCTCAGGCAGTAAACTGCTGGCCATGAAAGCATGAGGGCCTGAGTTTGGATGCCCAGAACCTTTTCATAAAAACTAGGTGTGATCGCATTTGCTTGTAATTCCAGTGCAGGGGAAGGGGAGATAGGTGGGTCCCTGAAGCTTCAAGGCCACTCAGTCTAGCTTAATTGACATGCTCCGGGCCAAGTTAGAGACTCTATCAAAAGTCAAGGGGTATGGCTCCTGCAGAATGACACACAAGGCTCTCCTGACCTTTATACACGCAGGCTTGTACACACACATGTACCTATGAGCACACACATCCCTTCTGAGAAGGAATGGCTAATCATATCTTTTGTTACACCTAAAAAAATTTCAATATACATATGTGAAAAACATGAGCACGTGAATGAATAGCATCCTTAAGGTCTACCTACTGCCATAGAACCCATCAAATGACACGTCAGCATCCACAGAGCAGAGGAGCCCACTCATTTCTTATTTTCTCCCACTTTTTTTGTTGACCCAAAGAACTTCAGAAACCTTGTTGGGAGTGGGGTGGCACTTCTTGAAACATTGTGAGAAAGAGGATCACTCTCTGGGAAACATGAGGAATCTACACGCAAGGTGCAGAAAATCATCTGTCATACCCAGGATGCCCAGGAAGAGCATTTGGATATGTTTCAAGTCATTCTTCAGCAGAATGCCTGAGAAGAGACACTTGTTTTGTATCTTGTTATGATGCTGAGATTTAGAGGAGAAGTATTTCTAAAATGATTATACATACTTACTAATAAAAACAGGATTTGAGCAAACACACATTTATCTTAAGGGTTAGCTGGAAAAAAAAAATAAAGTTTTTTCCAGGCTCTGAATTCCCACAATGCCTACTCAATATCAGTGCTATTCGGTGAATCCAGATTCAGGCCAAATCAAACCTTAGTACTTATTGTGTTTTGTGACACCTTCCCATTCTTGGTGACTTACAGACTTTTGTTTCCTTCCCTCAAAGTGCATAAATTGGGAAGCAGAAAGGTATGTACATAGATGATGTCATACCTTGAAGAAATCAAAAAATGAAATGTGTTTCACAATGGGCCCATACAGGCTTTCATCGTGTTTAAAGAAGAAGAAATTGGTGAAAGCGGCATCGATGAGCTCTGGATGTTTCCTGCTAAGTTTTACCAGCTCTAGTCTCTCTTTGCGGCTGTCTCGGCCCCTCCAGACAGCTGTGGAATTCTTACTCTCCCAGGGCGGCCCTGTGTTAGCTTGCACGGACATCATATCCAGACTTACTCTGCAAGACAGAAAACAGAACATGTCTTCCTCCAAAACTATCAATTCATGAAAGCAGATGGAAAAGAACTCACCAAAGAGAGCAAACCAAGGCTCGGGGTCAACCCTGACCATCTCTCACCGGCCCATGGTTTCTAGAACAGAGTCAGTCAGGTCGTACGTAGGCATCACAATATCCCTGGACTCTGTGGAGCCACACCAGGAAAAGATCGGCTGAATGTTGGAGTTGGATTTCTTTTTTTCCAAAGGCCAGTCTCCCAAATTAACAAAAAATTCCACATCTGGCATCCTCACCTAGAGGTGGGGATAACAAGAGCTTATTCACAGTCTTTGCACTGCACATGATCAGTTAAAATCATCATTTGGAACTAAGTATGACGTTGCTCCTCTGAAATCCTAGCAGCTGTGGGGCTCAGGTAGGATGATCAGGAGTTGGAAGCTGGTGTGCGAAATTGGCTAAATAAGGCTAGACTGGGTTACATAGTTCAGTAACAGTGTGGGCAATATGCTGTCTCAAAATATGAAAAAAAGGGATCTCTGTATGAGTATAAGTATATATATATATATATATATATATATATATATATATAGATCTAAAATTACATATAGTGTGATTACGTATATGAAAAGGTCACAATCACAATGAAACCCATCATTCACTACTGCACAAGAAAAGGCCAATTTTTCCAGTTTTAGGAAATGACAATCACCTCAGGTTAATTGGCCAGAAATCTTTCAGAATATGGCATTCATATAAGTACCTTCAATTTGCTTTCTGTGATGTCCAAGTTGGCCATCAGACTTACTACGAAGCCAAGAAACTGGCAAAGGTAATTTCTATTGTTTTAACATTGCCAAGAATCTAACGAGATCATTGAGAGGGTGGAGAGAGAAGAGGGTGGAGAGAGGGAGGAAGGGAGTGTTGCTGACAAATACAACACTTGGGGCTTTAGCCCTGGGTTCTTGTTAATGAGGCAGAGGCATTTTCTTTCCATGTGTACCATTGCTATAGATTGACTTATTTCCTCCACAGAAGATATATATGCCTAAGTCCTAAACCCCAATGTCTTGGAGTTACCTTATTCAGAACCAGTCATTGCTGATGCAATTAGTTAAGATGAGGGCACACAAGTATGTGGGATGGGGTTGTCAATCCAAAATGATTGGCATCTTTGGGAGAGAAGAGGGAAGGGGACAGGAGGGGACCCAGAGCCTCAGATTCTTGAAGGCAGATGGCCATGTGACAAGAGGCAGATTAGACTGACAAAACTATGAACAAAATAGCACCAAAAACAGAGGGGCACAGGCAGCCAGAAAGAGGCAGGGAAGAAGAATGCTGCCAGAATGAAAGAGTCAGGGAAGAAGAATGCTGCCAGAATCTTAGGAGTGTGGCCCTTTCAACATTTTGGTTTTTGATTAGTGGTCTCCAGAACCATCCTCTGCTTTTTTAAGGTACTATATATAGCAGCCCTTAATATCTAATACATATATCAGAAAAAAATAAGCTTTAGAATATCAATATAGAAGGTTCCAGAATATAACACTTTATATTGATGTTAATGATATTTTGAAAATAACTATCATATGACATTGCTATCATAATGCAGAGAAGATATACTAACCTTTCTAGTCAATGAAAGTAGTATTGCATCCATGAAAATCCTAAAGCCAACATGCTCACCATGAGTCTTGATATAAATCTAGAAGAGAATTTGACATTTACTACATGTGTGGAAAGGAACTGGCAGATATGGCTAAAAAAAAGTTTGTCAAAAAAAAAGTACATAGAATTATGTTTAACAAAAGTAGCCAGATGTAATCAAAAGGTCAAGACACTACAGAGTCCAGAAAACAAGCAAACCTCAATCATATTGTACCTTATTGTCCTTTACAGTATAGTGACACAGGCTTTGCCTCTGTCCAAATCGTTTTGGGATTTCTGCTGCAATCTTTTCAGGATCAACAGTAGGGAAATGTGCCAGATCTTTCTGAATCTGAGTGATAGTTTCTGGACAGTTCATCTCCCGTAGCCAGGCTGCACTGTCTTCCAAAGGGCAATCACAGTTCTCATGGTAAACTGGTCCTATTTACAGATAGACAGCAGTATAGCACAGTGGTGAACATTTCACTTAACAACTGAATCCTAATAAAGAATGTTCCATGAATATCAACTTTCTATCTGGTCAGAGGTCACCACAGCTCTTCTTCCTATAGTTCTCTATTCTGGCTCACTTTGCACAAGTGCAAATCAAGTCAATGGGTGGTATGCATGCTCTATAGATATAATTCACTTGTCTTTATACTTCACATAATCATCATGGGGCTGGAGAAATGGCTTAGCAGTTACAAGTACTTGTTGTTTTGGCAGAGGACTGGAGTTATGTTCCAAGGACCTATAACGACCTATAACTTCAGGCACAGCAGATCTGACAGCATCTGTGATACCTGTACATGTGTGAACATACCCTCATTATAGGAACACATATGTATTTATAAATAATTTTCTATTTATACATCTTAGAACAAATAACAAAATATTGGCAAAAAATTGAGGAATCTATATGTCCTGAAGGATAAAAGTGATATGAATTACTGTCTTAATGGTTTATTATAAAAACAACTTCTTTGGGTGTCTATGGGCTAGAGAGATGGCTCAGCCTTTAAAAACTAGGCTCAAAATCAAAAGTATAAAGTACTTTTCTCAATGGAAAAACCATTGCCAGTAAAACAGAAAAAAACCAAAGGACTCCAACCTTGTTTTCCTTTCTTCCTTCCTTCCTTCCTTCCTTTCTTAGAAAAAGAAATATAGAGAAGCAAAGGTAATCCTATAAACTTGTCATCTCATTAATATCGAAATGAATTAATTTTACATTTATAAAAATAATGCTAGCATAACATAAGAACTGTAACTGTAACTGTGTTATTCCTTTCTGATATCCTCAGATTCCAATCTGATCCAGTCAATAGATGACAATGGAATTTATATACATTTTAATACTTTGTAGGCTGGATTATACTAAGGGGTCCCAGTGGAATGTAAAATAATTTATACAGTTAAAAAAATCCATAATTTTCTTGTGGTCCTATCTCCCCATAGAAAGGGAAAAATGTTGTCTTTTTATCACAAAGCTCTCTTCTCAACCCTATGAGAGGAAATAGCAGAGAATGTTTTTGTAATAGTGGCATGACAGTGACATGCATGACAATGGCTAATTCCTTTTCTGCTTCAAGCCATCTGGCTGGCCGGGAACTTACAACATAGACTAGGCTGGCCTCAAACTCATAGACTTGCTTCTCACCTTCCTCAGAGCACTGGGATTAAAGGCATGCACCACTACACCTGGCAATCTCGGTGATGAGTATAAGTTACTTAATTAGATCATTCCCTCAAGAATTATCTATGACTACATATTTAACTTAATTGTTCAGACTGGAGTTATAGTCAGTCCTGAACTGCAATATGGGTGCTGGGAACCAAACCCAGGTCCTTTCGAAGAGCAGCCAGTGTTCTTAATCACTGAGCCATTGCTTCAGCCCTGTAAATTCTTTTTTAATCCTCAGATTTACACAGACACGCACACAAAATAAACAAAAAGTCTGAAGCAGTACAAACTAAAGATGGTAATAATGATTAAGTATGATCTTTTGAGACTTTGTTTCAATTTCCTATGTGCATATGTACATATCAATTATCATTTTATACATATATGTATATATCTTATTGTAAGCAATGTTCAAAAAAGTTTATAAAACTTTGTTGTAAATTATGAATAATAAATGGTCAAACATTACTATACATTATATACACATGCATATGCTTATGCACACGTGAATGCAGGTGCCTGTGTACTACAGATATCCTCTTCCCTGAAACTGGAGTTCCAGGTGGCTCTGAGCCTCCTGACATGGGGGCTGGATCCAAACTCTGGTCCTTTGCAAGAGCAGCATGTGCTTTTCCCTGCTGAGCTATCTCTCTAGCTTTTTAACTTGATTATTCTCACTGATGTGTCCACAAGGAGCAACTTTTCCAGTAATGTTTCTTGGTCTTTAGTGAATTATAATCACCATGTAAATAATCAATATCTCTCTTTTGCCAAGCTGCCTAATTTAATTTTCAATTAGAAAAACATCTAGTTTTTTCATTTAGTGAAAAAAGTATGTTAAATTTTTTGATAGAATTCTTATTGATGGAATGACATGCAGTTTTGTATACAAATCCAATTGTGAAATTTTGTTTCAAAATACCTCTTAAAATATAAGGAGACTTGGCGACATGTTGCCCATGGTGTCTGACCTCTATCTTCAGATTTCTGTAGCTTGCATACATTCTATATCTTACTATGAAGGACCCATCCTTTCGATCTAAAACCTGGACACCAACTCTAGTGAACTGCTCGTCAGGTGCTGAGATTTTAACCTGGAACACATTTTCGCCTGGAGAAGATGTAAACCTGTTATGGAAAACAATGAGATATGAGGGTTATTTTAATAGCAAATGCAGACTATTTATTCTCCTTAATCTGTAAAGGTTGGGCATTCTGTTATATCCTTCTTTTAAGATATTGTTTCTTGCTTCTCTCAGGCTTTTAGTACCAGAACCAATATGATGGAACAAAGATTTAAAAAAAAGATAATAATAACAACATAAAATACTTTCACTAAACAGTTGCTGGGAGATAACATTTAAGACTAGCAATCTATTTGGCATACAAAACAGAACAATATTCCTATCACTGTACTATTAATTCATGATCAACACATTTGACAATTATTCATTTGTTAAATGTTTACTTCAAGGATGACCTTATTTGAAAAGTTGTTTTTAATGGCTCAAAAGAAAATTCAGTATTTGTGGGGCTGGGGAAATAGCTGAATGGTTAAGAGCATTTACTGTTATGTAAAAGACTTAGTTCAGTTCCTAGTATCCATTGTCCTTAAGGCTCACAACTATCTGCAGTTTCAGCTCAAGGAAATCAATGCCCTCTTCTGGCTTCTTCCAGCACCCAGGTGTGAGTATATACCCTCATCCACATCATGTAATTAAAACACTACTACTAATAAAAGTCTAATAAATATACCAGTACTTTAAATTATGTTTGTTTATGGGGAAAATCAAAATAACTGGTCATCATGTTAACAACACAAGTGTTTTGGACTGAATATTCCTGCATTTGGAAATAGGTTTTAGTGTTTAGTTTTTCCAGTTGTACTATTTTTCTTAAAACAGCTTGTGGGAAAGCATTTTAAAATAACAGAGATTTGTTTAGCCTCGAGTCCCATCTAAAAAGCCAAGAAGAAGCTGTCATTATAGCAATATTATTTATACTATACTGATACATATTTCAGAATTATTTCTAAAGTCACAAAGAAAAGGGACAGCCTATTATAACCAGATGTAGACAGCACTCAAAAATTCTGGAATGTAAATTGCCGGCAGAAAAGGCAAGTCAGGGCACATAGAGATGAAGGACAAAACCAAAACAAATAAACAACAGGAACGAAAACCTTCTTCAGTTATTTTAAACAGCAATCTCAAATAGTTGAAGAGTCATTTCTCCACTTACTGTTCCCCTGAGGTATCCACCGCCCGAATGTAGAAATAGCGGGCAGGAAGGACCACGTGTGCTTTTAGCCCGGGTCCCCATATTTCGCTCTTCTCTGGGCTCAGCCTCCCCTCTCCGCCGGTCTGGGCAAGTGCTGGCACAGTCCCCAGAAAAAGGCAGGAAAGCAGCGAAATGCTGAACATTTACAAGACCGAGTCTAGGAAGATCCACGAATGAATGCAAACGTGCTAAGTGGACGGAGCTAGCCTGGGTAGGTAAGAGTACGGTGGTCAGTCCTAGCAGCAGTCAAGGTCCCTAAAGTGTCGCTTGACGTGCGGGGTCCGCTCGTGGGACTACGCTGTGCCCAAGAATGTCACAACCGGAGCGGTGGCATGTCCAGGAGAAGGATGCCACTCGTTCTGCTGAACCTGGTAAGAATTGCAGGCTCCTCTTTCTCCGGACAATGACAAACTTGTATTACTCTTGCCACTAGAGCATCACTTTGGGAACGAATCCGTCGCAGGTTCTAGCCAAGGTGAGCGGAGAAGGATTGGCCTGCGCTGTGACCAGTCTTAGTAAGGTCTTCTGCTAGTGGATGAGTGGGTCAGAGTGGACACGCGTCCTGGGCCCTCAGCTTCTTGGGATATGTAGTCCACCATAGGAGTAACGGAAATCCTGCCAGGAGTCCACCCCCAACTACTTTCCTTCCTACTTTCCTTCCTCCCTTCCTTCTCTTCCCCCCGTCCCCCCCCCTTCCTTCGCTCCCCCCGTCCCTCTCCCCCCCCCCCCTCCCTCCCCCCCCCCCCCCCCCCCCCCCCCCCCCTTCCTACTTTCTTTTTTTTTTTTTTTCAACTTTGGAGCACGGCTTTCGGGCAACCCTTAAATATTACAGTTGCACAACTGGCATGTCTGGAGTCACAGCTAAGATTTCCCAACTTATATTTTGTCCATGGTATCCACCGCAATTGGCAGGTATATATTTAACGTTGAAAGGGAGGCAGCTGTTTTCAATGATATCCAATCACCCGGCGTCAAGGTCCTGGTGCTATTATTCTTGTGCGCTCAAAGGGACGAACGATTCTGGGCCTTGGGTAGAAGACTTGAGGATGCAGATCTGTTGTTGCCTTTCAGCATCAGAGTTCCGGGACCCAACAGGAACAGAGGTATTCCCCAGCAGAGGGCCGAGCCCAGGCACAGCCGTACGCTCCGCCTCTCCGTAGCGCCGTCACTGCTTCGTAGCAGGACAACCCCCACCCCCATCCCTGCCGCGCCCCTGGAAGGATCTGGGTCGAGCCAAGTGTCTAAGGAGAGGTGTAGGGGATAGAAATCACCGGAACAAAGCTCAGCTTGGGGGTGCACCCGTGGGTATCCCTGTACTCTATTCAGGAGCGGGTCTCCACGCTACGCTAGCGGATCCCAGGCACCTGGCCCGCAGCGGCCAGCCTCTCTGCACCCTCGCTTCTGGGCCAGTGAGGTCAAGAGGAGTCCCAGGCTCTGTCCTACCCTCCACGGGGTAAGGGGCGTGGAAAACACAGGCCCCCGGTGGCTCGGTGAGCTAAAGTCGGCCTGGTTGTGAGCCAAGGCAAGGGGATTCTTTTTTCCGCTATTGTCATTATTGGTGATATCAACTCATTCATCGCGGCCTCCCCTCCCAGCTCTCCGGCTGTCTCTGCCTGCGCGCCACCAGTTTCTCCAGTCCCTAGCACGTAGGAAGCGGCCCCCTACAGGCCTGCGCACTCTCCTTCCTGGCGAACCTTTCTTCCGGCTGGGAGGGAGCGGGCCTGGAGGTTAGGAGGCTTTAGGTTTGGCTTTGGCCAGTGGGGACTAGGGGCGCCGGGCTCTGGGTTGGCCACCGCGGGCCAGGAGTGGGAACTCGGCACAATAGCACTGCTGCAGTTGCGCTCGCGACGCCCCTGCTCTCCTGGTTCCCCTCCGCCTGCGCCGTTGTCACCTTCAAGTGGCTTCGGAGCCTCAAAGAGGGGGCAGTGGGAAGTCTCCCGACTTCTCAGAGCTTGAACTCCAAGAGGGCACCATGTGCTGGATGAATCCCATACTCACAGGTAGGCCTCCCAGGTCTGGTCTGATGCTCTAGTCAAGGGCGCTGATAGGAAAGGGGGGGGGGGGCATGGCTGCTATCTTAGTGGTTCTCATCAATCCTCAGCAAAAACACTTTCCGTGTCTCAGTTGCTTTCTGTACAGAATATTGAGTATAATGAGGAAGGCTTTACTGAGATTTTATAAGATGCCTAGTTCTCTACTGTGATACTAAAGCGTGCAGACACGAAAGGCACATAAACTGGGAAGAATATAACTCAGGCGATCGATATCTGCTTTGCAAACATGTTGTATGTTTATTTGACAGAACTGTTCATTCCAAAGACTCTCACAAGTCATTCCTCTGGTGCTGTCTTGGAAGCTTGGGGTTCATATTGTTTATGAGATACTGTGAATAAAGTGTGGAGTTGAGTGGTATTCCTGCAGTTATTCTCACTACCAAGGCTTTGTGGGATCAGGCTAGAAAGAACAGCTCAAAGGGTGGGTGGCATGAAGTTACAAGTATAAAGAAAAAAGCAGATTCCAGATAGCTGAAGATACAGTGATGAGCAATCAATCAGCCCTTCATACCTCGTTCTTTCCTGAGACTACCATTGCATCTTACTAGAATAATCTATATCTGCAATGATCTTGTTTCTAGTAATTGTGTCTTTTTTCATTTTAAGAAAGTCGGCTCTGAGTGAAGTCCTGAGGATACCATAACAGAAGCCCTTCAGAGGGTGGACATGTAGATCATGGAATGCAAAGAAGTAAAATATTAACATGGGTCCTGGGGTCATTCTTTCTCATTTTCTGTGAATATCTTCTGATATTTCATAATTTGTCTACAATACACTTTACTTGTGTCATCAAGCCTATAAATATATATATTTTCAGAGATATTCACATAAGACAGTGGTTCAAATGAGGATTTCATTCAATTTCATTTTCAGTGACAACTATGTAAAATATATCTTCAGGTAGATGGCAGCTTTGTTTTTTAAAAATGTAATGAGAATAAAGATACTATTTTTGTTCAGTGATCATTGCTTAAAGCAAACAACCCAAAACCAGATGGTTGTATGTTTTATTAATCAAGTGTTTTACTCTTAACATCTTCTAGCAAGTTCAGCCATATTTTTCATTCATAAATGAAGCTGTTTCCCTTGATGATTTTATTTGTTTGGCTTTGGTTATTTGAACTAGGGTCTTGCCCAGTGTGTACTACTGGCCGGATCAGAGCAGCTGTGCAGCTTAGTCTAGAGTAGATAGATCTTGTTGCAGCCCTCTTCTTTCTGCTTCTTGAGTCCTGAGATTACAGAAGTAGGCTACCACATTCTATTTTGACCATACTGTTTTTCTTTCCCTGTGTTCCAAATGAGCATAAAATTATCAAACTGAAATACATTGTATTGGTCCATCGTCAAAATTGTTTTCAAAGTGAGAAAGGCATTGATGGCAAGGTGAGGTTAATGTCAGGTTGAGGTCTACAAAGGGTAGGGCCTGGGGTGCCTGGGATGTATTAAATCAAGCTTTCCCACTGCCCCAGGTGACCATCTGCTGTCTCCTGTCCTTCCATACCCCACCACAGACACATGACGCCTCTCTACCACACAGCTTTGAAAAGAAGACCGTGAGCATCACAGACAGGAAGTGGGTAATGGAGAATTGGAGAAACTCAGTGCTCAGAGCAAAGCAGTGTGGTCTGCATACCTCATGCATTGTCCATACCTTTGTGTCTTTTTCCATTGTCACCATCACACCATAGAATGAGGAAAAAGGAGAGAGCTCAGGCACTTTCTGTAGACCTTTTTGCCAAACAGTATTCTAAAGGAAAGCACTGCAGGTGATAATGTAGTTGGATCCTGTGAGCCACTGTTAATGGAAGATGAGAAAAAAGCCAACATGAAGTTGTGAGAAGGCACATCTCATGAGGGGAGCTCCCTCAGCACAGATGGGAGTCCTTTCTCCGGAGTGTTTCTCCTTAGATTCCATTAATTGTGAAAGGGCCTTTACCCCTTTCATTCAGAAGAGGCTGGAGATTCCCCTGTTTATCATCACATCTGTTTGTTAGAGACTCAGACATAGGTTTGTGCCATTGAATACTTTTGTAATGGGTATTAAACAAATCATAATCTGTGATTATTTTGATTGCTAATGTTTAAAGTAAGCAAATGAGGAGGTAGATTAATAGTTGAAAGTCAAGATGACCACCATGGATGCGCTTAGTCTCTCATGCACTGAGTGGTCACTAGAGCCTGGAAAGGCGAATCTTGCCCTGCGTTTGGTTTCCTGTGATGTTGGACCTCACCAAGGACTTGCTCCTTTGTAAGGCTTTAACTTCTTTGAATGGCCTCCATGGCTATTCAACTTTACTATTTTCTTCCTCAGAGGAATCAGGTCAGACTTGAAGCCTAGTTTTCCCTGAGACTGCTCAGAAGTTAGTGACAGCAGCTTTAAATTGTAAATTTTATTTGTTGAACATGATTATTATCATGATGTATGTTTTATCCCTACATACATTTTTATCTTTTGGTCACTATAGTACTATAGGCAATACCATTTAGACTTAATTCACATGCTGTGGTGGTTTGTGTATGCCTAACCCAGGGAGTGGCACTATTTGGAGGTGTTGCCTTGTTGGAGTAGGTGTGACACTGTGGGCGTGGAATGCTTTAAGCAGGGTTCAATGGGCCATCCTACTAGGAATACGGAAGATGTTGTTGTTGAGGGTGAGTTGAACTGTGGAAGCCTGGCTCTAGAGGTTTCAGAGAAGAATTTTAATATGTGGCCAAGAGACTGTGTGATATTTTGATGAAGAATGCGGCTGCTTTTTGCCCTTCTCTAAAGAGTCTACCTGAGGCTAAGGTGAAGAGATTTAGATTAATTCTTTTGTTAAAGGAAGTCTCAAAACACCCTGATATAAATTCTGTTGTGTGGTTACTAAACTTCTCTCTTAAAAAGAGTGTTTTAATAAAATATTGCAAGCTGAGAAAGGAAAAATTAAAAAAAATATATATGGTTCAAGTATTAAAGGGGCACCAGGAAGTGAAATGGAGCTGAATCCGGTATTCAAGGATATTAAATTGAATTAAGTGGGTGGTGACCTTGGGACAAAATCCTACCCAGCTAAGTTTAGGTCCAGGCATGATAGTATACAAGCCTTTAATCCAGGATGCAAGGCAAACAGATCTCTGAGTTTGAGGCCAGCCTAGGACAGAACAGGTTCTAGGTGAAGAAAATCTTAATTGTAGGCATGGTGGTGCAGACCTTTAATCCCAGGAGACAGAGCCATGTAGATCTCTGAGTTCAAGGTCAATCTACAGAGCAAGTTCCAGGACAGCCAAACTTATGAAGTGAGGAAGTTGGAAAACAGAAAGCTGGTAATAGAATATGGCGGGGTTGGGAGGTGGTGGTGTTCCAATCTCAGCATGCAGCAGAACTCAGCAGCTTTGGCCATGAAGGTCTGGCTTTAGAATTCAGAATAGAATGGACTACTGGGACAATTGATGCTGGTTAGCTGTTGCTAAGAAATTAGTGGTAATTAAGAAGAGACCAGCATCACTGAGGTGTAATCTGGTAAGTGTTTTTTGAGAGCACAAAGAAGTTATGTTCCAGAGATAGCCAATGTTGTACTTCCTGCTGCAGCTGGACTTGGTAATGAGTAAGAACCACCCAAGTGGTTTTGAAGGTATGAAGGAGTCATGGAGAGCAGCTAAGGCTTGGCACTGTGAGAGGCCATGGAAGGCCATTGGTGAAGGTGTAGCATTAGTTGTAGTTGATGACCCAGTACTGAAGGGCTCATGCAAAGAATTTCTGGCTTGGCACCATGTAGAGAGCCTATGAGAGGCTATTGGTGAATCCTAGTTGCAGTGGAAAACCCGAGGATATTGGAGATGCCAGTACCATGGGATGATCACTGCCAGCAGCAGTGGAGTGGGGTCGACCAGAGCCCAGAATGCTTCAGAGGACAGAGCTGGAGATCTGACCTAAGCCCTTTGAAGGAGTCCAGAAGAGAATGTGTAGATCCCAGACATTGGAACAAGAAGCTGTAAAGTTGAAGTTGCCTTGGAGACCCTAAGATGTTTGAGCTGCCAGAGCTTTGGACTACTTGCTGAGGAAAGCTGCTAACAGGGAGTGGAAAGTGGAACCAGACTAGGAGAAAAAACTTTACTGTAGTCAGTAAAGATGAAAAGGGAGTAGAGATATGAAGACCACTTTGACATCAGACATGGAGATGCAGAGTTTGGAGTTTGCCCAGCTGGTTTCCTGTCTTGCTTTGGGGGTTACAGTTAAGTGACTAGATTGTAAGCGACCCCCGAGGGGGAGACCCCACTTTCACCCGGGGTTGTGCGCACCCAAGAAAACACAGAGACTGGCTTGATGCAAAATAGCAAAAGGTAGTTTACTGGCAAGGGGCCCTCGGGTAGAAAACGCATCCCATGCAAGGGAAGGATTTTGACCCCGAGCTCTGACAGTTCAAAGTTTATATAGGAAGCTGCGCAGGGGGAAGGGCAGGCGGGCGTGCTAGCGCGAGCAGAAGCACCACAAGACTTGGGAGAGAGGCCAGAGGGACCGCCGCAGGGCACCGGGACGGCGGTGGCTGGCGGGGTGGCAGAGGCAGTCACGGACCGCCCGGACAGGGAGAGAGCGGCTGACGGAACGGGGGTGTGGAAGGAGCCGGCCGAGCCTTCGGCAGCGGCAGGACGGTGGGGCTCGTGCTCCACGGCAGCCTCGGTTGGCCCAAAAACTCCATAGGCGGGGGTGGCGGCAGCATCGATGAAGGAGAGCACAACTGTGAACCAGGGCACAGCACGAGCATGCCTATTGAGCATGCCTATTAGTCTCGCGGAGCGGGACCTCCGTCCCAGTCTCCAAAAGCGAGAGAGTGTTATCAGCTCTTTTAGTTCTTCCTTCCAGGGGTAGCTCGTGAGAGCCCACGGAAGAAAAGTGCTTCAGCTCTCTCAGTTCGCTCTTCCCGCTGAGAAGAGAGGAGGGAGGAGAGTTGTCCTTTGAAATGCACGACAGGCGAGGGATCACAAAAGCACTCTGACAGCAGGAGACCTTACACCACACAGCAGTAGTAGTTTACTTTTAGCTCTGGGGTTATATATATACAGTTTCAGGGGAAAGAACAGGTAACCCCTATTGGTTTGGCTTGAGGGTTTGGGGATGCCTTATTTGCATGGAGGTGTTACCCGATGTGATAAGGGTCATGGGTCTCTTTGTGGGAAGCGGAAGCTAAGAGAGCCATATGGCCTGGGAATCTGAAGCAACCTCCCATCCTGCTGACCCTTTTCAGGCCGAGGTCTCCGGGGCTTCAAAGATTTCTACCAAACTTTCTGGCTTTCTCATAGCCTACTGCCCCACAGAAGGGGAGAGCGGGAAATTTTGGTGCGGTTACATTTGATTGGGTATTTTAAACATCAGCAATAGGTGTAAGTTATCATTTTGGCGGGCACAGCAAGCTTTTCTTGGTGGTCATGATGACTCGTATTTTTGGCCATGAAACCTCAGACCTCTTGATAGAGGAAGAAAAACACCAAATGGCCCATATCTCATTTGGGGATGTTTAGACTTGTCAAGGCCTGTCCTTGCTTGTTCTTACATTCATGGTCACCCTGTCCTAGGAGGAACTTGTTAATTTTTTTGTTTTGGCTGTTTTCTGCAAATTGTTGGTGGTCTGGGCGCCTCTGCTGAGGTATTTTGATTTTTTGTCCTCACATAGATGAATCTCAGGAGAGATTTTGACCTTTGTACATTTAACATTGTTGAGACTGCTATAGACAATGGGGACTTTGGTAGTTGTAGTAAGTGTACTTTTTTCTTATGCTATGTTTAGGTATGGCCCCATAGACTCATGTTTGAACAAGCCTATGGGGGCCATGGAGTGGAATGTAGTGGTTTGAGTATGCCTAACCCAGTTGTGGCACTATTAGGAGGTGTGGCCTTGTTGGGATAGGTGTGTCACTATGGGTGTGGGCTTTAACATCATAGTCCTAGCTGTCTGATATCGAGTCTTCTCCTAGCAGCTTTCAGCTGAAGGTATAGAACTCTCAGCTCCTCCTGCACTATGCCTACCTGGATGATGCCATGTTCCTGCCTTGATCATAATGGACTGAACCTCTGAAACTATAAGCCAGCACTAATTAAATGTCTTTTTAACAGTTTCCTTTGTTATGGTGTCTATTCACAGCAATAAAACCCTAAGACACACACCATAAATCACTCATTACAATGTATATTTCAGTGGCTTTTTAGGATATTCCCTAAGTTGGACCTTTACTATATTCCTGTGTTAGTTATGGAATATTTTCATTATTTTAAAGAAAAAGCTCATCATGTTGAATCTTTCATCCCAAGACAAATGCTAAGGTGTATTGTGCTTTGTAGACTTGTCTCTCCTGGAGATCCTGGACTGTTAAGGGATCAGTTCCTTTGTGATTAGCATGTTTCCAAAGTCCATTCATGTTGTATCATGATCAGTGTTGTTTTTATTACAAAGTAGTATTTTACTGGATGCATGTGTCACTTTTATCCATAAGTAAGTTGCTAGGCTTTGGGTTGTTTTCACTTTTTGCCATTCATGGGCATGGTTTAATGTTTTCTATATGTATCTAGAACAGAAATTTCCATATTACATGGGAAGTGTTGAAATATATGAAAACTGTTCTGTAACCCTAGATCAATTTATATCTTTGATAGCAGCTTATGAAGGATCTGATTTTCCACACTTTCTAATGTTCACTGTTGCCTGTGTCTTTTTATTATAGACATCTTGGTGGGTGTGAGCTGGCAAACCATTGTGGTTTGGATTTGTGTTTTCTTTTTGGTTTTTCAAGACAGGGTTTCTCTGTATAGCCCTGGCTGTCCTGGAACTCACTCTGTAGACCAGGCTGGCCTCAAACTCAGAAATCTGCCTGCCTCTGCCTCCCAAGAACTGGGATTAAAGGTGTGCGCCACCACCTCCGTCGGATTTGTGTTTTCATAGCAGTGAATGATGATGGACTTCTTTCCATGCACTCATTGTTCGTCTCTGTAATATCTTTACAGATATGACTTCCCCCTTTTAACTAGGTTATTTATATTTTATTCTTATTGCCTGGAGCCAGCCTTGGCATGGGGTCTTCTTTCTCGTTGGTTCTTCTTGAGGCAGTGGAGGGGGAAGAGCATTGGTGGAAGGAGGATAAGACTTGGCCTTATGAGATTTGGGGGTAAGACTTTGTCTTATGAGATATTTAGGGTTGCTGTATAATAAAAAGTTTGCTTATCTAAATTACTATGCTACTGTAGCTGACCTGCCTTCTGTGATCCTCTGAGGCTAGAAACGAGCAAAGGATAAAATAAATAGCCTTTGTACTATCTCAGCAGGAGCTGCATGGCTCTAACTTTCAACCTGCTAGTCGGAAGTCACAGGAAGAAAAAGACACTTAGAAAAGTAGTTTTAGTGTTTATTACTAAGTTGTAAAAAGTTTCCTATGAAAACTATCTAAGGGGAAAAGCAGAAAATCCTAAGTGGGAAAAGGGAAAAAAAATCTCTACTCTAAGTGGGGAAAGGGAAAAAAAATTCTAGTAAGGGAAAAAAATCCTTCTCTATCTTATCTATCCCTCATCTCTTTGCCCTCAGCACTTATACATCTTTTAGAATATATGATCACATGTTACAAAGTTCATCACAAGTTCACACAAAAAAATCAAATCATCAATTGAAATAGAAGTTTACAACAGAGAATGTTTACATGCATATCCATTAGGAGTAATTATCTGGCTAAACATCCATCACCTGTCTCAGCTCCACAGGGTCATTGTAAGTTGAAAACCATAACTAAGCTATTAGTGAAGTTTTGTATAGATAAACCCAGTCAATATTTTATCTTCTGTCCTAGCACCTATAATAAGTCATTAGTTCTCTTTTAATGACCTCTTGTTAATTGTTTTAACCTCCTGGAATGTGCTCTGATCAGGAGAAAGTCTGGTTACTATCTAAGAGCAACTAACTGGTGACACTTGGTAGACTGGCAGAGTTTTCATTGCAATTTTAACTATCAGAAAAGGACCTAATAGCAGTCTCACTATAAAAGAACTTAATAATCACTGATGTAAGTTTAGGAATTCTTATAGGACCTTCATTAAGACTTAAGAAGTCATCTATTTGTCTATATAGCATCACTATAAGACAGTACATCTTCGTGGATCTGCAGAGATCTGCTCCAAAGGGGTGCGCTATTGCTTAGTGATTGTAACATATGTTTAATAGTAATAGGAAAAGCATATTAATAGCAGGAGTCTCTCCTAAAATGAATCCCTTACAGCCTTGCTTAAGAAAAATGAACCTGTCACAGATTATATAATAATCTGAAGCAGGCCATCTCAGGTTGATCATCTGATAGTTATTAGCATGTCCCATTATGGCTCCTGACATCTCATATTTTGCTTTAAACGATTGTGTGTGTGTGTGTGTGTGTGTGTGTGTGTGTGTAGTGTGTGCTCTTGCCTCTCCTTATCCAGAGCTGGCATTATGGTTTGCACAGCTTCTTATTTATCTACTTTTTAATGTAAATGCTGGAGATCCAGCTCAGATCCTCATATTTGCGTGGCACACACTGTGCCAACTAAGCCATATTCCCCATCCCACAAGCTAATCTTTAATATAAGATAGATGATTAGATGTATGGTCATTAAATCAATATACATTGAGTGCAGGTATATGAATCATACTCATTATAATGTTTATTGCCATTCATCATGCCTGCTGGATATACAATCAGTCTTCTCTGTCTTTTCTTAGGATCCCATTTGTCAACCCTCAAGCTTTTATAGAATGCTGTGAACATTTGCCAAAGTTGTTTCTTAAAAGAAAGGGTTGCGGCTTCTTCCCAGGAACAGAGAGAGACATCTGCACTTGCTCTCATGCTTAACATCACTGAAGCTGGAAAAGCCACTGATTCTGGACATGGTGAGCACAGATCTGAGAACAAGTCCCCAGAAGAGAGTCTACAAGGTACTGTACCATCTTTCTACACAAGTGCCTCTGGAGCACCCGTATGCCCTAGAGGAGATGGGCATTATCCTTCGTGTTGTCCAGTGACTCATACTCGAGAGAAAGTTTATGCCATCTGCTCGGACTATGCCTTTCTTAACCAGGCAACGTCAGTCTACAAAGCTCCTAGCCCAAGCCGCTCTGCTTGCCTCCGTGACAACACCTCCCTTTCTGCTGGAAATATTACAAGTTATATTGGAATCCCAAATAGTACATCAGAAATAATCTATAATGAAGAAAATGACTTGGAAAACTTATCCACCAGCATGGGCAAGCTACCTCTTGCATGGGAAATTGATAAATCTGAATTTGATGGGGTGACGACAAATTTGAAACAATCAGGTAAGAAGGATCTATGAAGTTTGCAAGTGAGAACAATCAGAAACAAACACTATCTATTGCTAAGTCTGCAATGAAATGCTTTCTGTTGCTGAGCCAGGAGCATCACTGCCATCTTATCTGTCATTGCAGTTTTGTTTGTTTGTTTGTTTTTGTTTTGTTTTATTTTTTAAGTAACCCCAGACATAGTTAATCCCTGACTGTGTTGCCCATGGAAACTTCTAATATCATGTGTGTGTTTGAGGAGCTTTGAAAATCAAAAAGAATGAAATATAAGTATTAAAGATAAGAACACAGTAGCTTTGAAAAGGCTACTAACAGCTAGAATATTACTGTTATTTTGTAGTTTTGCAGAGATATGTGATCATATTTTCTAATGCAGGAGATATTAAAACATTTTTGGTTTGAAACATTTGAATGCAAAAAGAACATCTGTTTTGATCAAAGTCTTGATTTCTTTTTTAAAAGCTACAATTATATAGGATATTAGCCAAGGAAAGATCTCTTTTCTAAACCATATTCTAAAGTCCATTTTATTTCTCATGTCTGTGTGTATGTTTCTAAGGACCTGCTTATATTTCTTTCCATGTGTTATAAGAAAATTATGTTTGATAGCTCCATCCCTCCTTTTCAGTGATGGCTTTAAAACTTTTAGATGCTAGGGAGTAGTTCATGCTTCAGTCAGATGTGGCACTGATATATTTTTGTGGACAAGTATTAAGAATACTTGTGTTTTATTGGTTAGTGGCATGAACATGGTGCTAGAAGAACAGGGTCACAAAGCGTTCAAATTGCTTTAAATTTGAGACAACAGTGAACCTGTCAATATAGAATTCTTTGTCATCCAAACTTTTAGCAGAATTATATAAGGATTAAACATATAATTAAACATTCTATCTATAAGATTTAACGTATAAAGATATACATTATCTTTATACTTATATAATATCTAATATTATAAGGTATATTATATTTATATAATATATACTTATGTAATATCATCTATTATACTTATATACTATCTAATATATGATATATTATCTATTATATTTACATAATATATATTTATGTAATATCTAATATATATGAATGGTTATATTTGGAAGTATACATTCATTACCATTACAGAAATATGAAAGGAAAAGTTAAATCTCTGGGAATAAAAGCAAACATCTTTTAGAATCTACTTTAAAATAATGACAGTAGCCAAAGGCTGTGTAATGTAAGAGGATGTGAATGGGAAGACTGCACCATTCAGGCACAGGGTGTAGTCTTTACCCTTGCGCTGGAGTGCTCTTCAGATACTAATGCTTCTTCACTTTCCTTGAGTTAACAGTAATGCAGGGGTTATATGCAGTAGTTGCCACTCTTCTAGTTGTACAGGTGAAGGAATTGAAGCTTAGAGGGGATAAATCTGCCCAAAGTTCACAGCTAGATAGAACTAGGATTTTACTTCTGATGGTTTTATAAATACTTTAATGGTTTTATAGAAATCTCTGTACTTCTGTTTGTACATTCTGAAATCAGTTGTTACAGAGATTATTAGATAAATGCATAATCCTCAGAAGACTGGCATGCTTCATTTGTGTCAGTATTTACGTGCATTTTTTTTTTTCTTTAGGGTTGAGATTTAGTGCTATGTGGGTTTCTTAAAACAAGCTGGAGAGTGCTTCTTCCTGTTTTCTGCGGGTTGTAGGTTCCAAAAATTTCTAACTTTAATTATGGAATTGTCCTATTGGTAATTTTGTTGTTTCATTTGGGGGCCTGAAGGTGTATTTTTCCTCTAGTATCTATCTGTAGGGTCTTTAGTGATAACTCATTCTTCACTCTTGGTCCCATTTGCCCAACCTGGCCCCCTAAGTGACCGAATAACACTTTCAGTTGCTAGTTACTGGACCAAAAAATATGTATCAATTACCTTGCTATGTGGTGAAACTGACCGAAATTAAATGCCTTTCTGGCCTTTTCTTAAAATGTGCCACCCTTGCAGAAGTCTTCAGAGTTCCAGAATAGCATCTTGTCATTGCAGTTGTTACTTAGGTAAAAGACTGCCTGCTGGTGCTCTCTACTCTCCATTGTTGAGATTTAAAAGTGTGATTTAAAGCTCTGTTAGGAACACTCCCATGTGTAACCTTTATGCTTTCTTAAAGAATTGACCTCTTTTAGCTAGGCATGATGACACTTGTTTATAATCCCAACAATATGGAGGTTGGAGCAGAATGATCCTGAGTTTGAAGATAACCTGAGCTATGTGGGGAGTTCCAGGGTAACCTAGTCCCCATGGTGAGACCTTAGATTGTGGGGAAAGTGTTCATTTTACTAATATGGCATGTGCTTCAGGACCTTCTTGTCATAAAAACTGCTTTAATATTGACATCATTGTCCTAGCTTTCTTTTGGCATGTTTGTGTGGTACATTCTTTTCCATTCTCTTTTAGATCTAGAAATTACATTATGTTATTGTTTCTGTTTTTCACTTGCAGAGACTTGGTATCTTCATTTTTTTACTAGAGCACTGTATCTATATCATCTAGCACAGTTATAATATCTACTTCAAAGTCTTTGGAGATTTCAAACTCTGGGTTAGGTTACAGTCAGAGTTGGTCTTATCTTTTGCTAGAGGGTAACTCATTTCTTTGTTTCTTCACATGCTATATTGTTTTTAAATTTGTCCTGGATTTGAGAAATGTTATATCAACTCTGGTATATCATCCCAACAAGAATAAGCAAGCAAGCAAGCAAGCAAGCAAGCAAGCAAGCAAGCAAGCAAGCGGCAAGCAATCTCTCACTCTATTCTTTCTTCCTCCTTCCCTCCCTCCTCTTCTTTCTTTGTGTTACTCTATCTCTCAGTTTCTTGATTTGTGTCTCTCCATCTCTGTCTCTGTCTCTCTGTCTCTTTCTGTCTCTGTTCCCCCCCCACACCCCCACACCCACACTGGTTGATTTGAAACTGCAAGCTCTGTCTTTTAAAGATAGTTCTATTCTTGGGTTGGGCCCATTAGCCCTGGCTGAGTCACTTAGGGTTTACTCTGTGCATATATGGTCCAGGTTTTAGCACAGGATTTGGGCTTCTCTCTGTTATATAGCTTTCCTGTTTTCAGGTTTCTTTCTACCTCATAAGTGGTGGTTGGTATCCTGTATCTCCCACACCCCCCCCGCTTTTTTTTTTTTTTTCTTCTGGAGACAGCAGTCTGGCTATGTACTCCAGTATGGCCTATAATTCTTTTTATTGAATTTTATTCATTTTATTTTTACTTGATGTGTATGAATGTTTTGCCAGCATGATATCTGTGTACAATGTGCATGCCTGATACTCTTAGAGGCCAGAAGAACATGATGGATACCCTGGAACTAGAGTTATAGAAGGTTATTAGCTACTATGTGGTTGCTGGGAAATGAACCCAGGTCCTCTGCAAAAGCAGCAAGTTAAGTTCTGCTCCTAACTACTGAACCATCTCTTCAGCCCCCTCACCTATAATTCTTATTCTCCCTGCTTCAGTTATTTTGAGTACTGGGACTATAGGTCTGTGCTACTGCACATAGTTCTGAGTTTTCATTTATCATCTTTCCTTACACGTTTCTGAATACCAGGATAGTGTGTGTGTGTGTGTGTGTGTGTGTGTGTGTGTGTGTGTAGGCAGAGGGCTATGTGCATATGTTAGGGTGGGGTAGGAAGAAAGGATAAGGTGATGGCATAGAGTAAGGGCAAAGGACATGAAGACACAGAAGTGTGAGGGGCTTCTTTTTTATGTTACGATCTAGCTTCTACTTTGACATTTTTTTCTTCCTGCAAGTTCAGTGAGATGTTGGCAGTAGAACCAGATCTTGTGGCATTATGGAGATCTCTGCTTACCTGCAATGTGTATGCTCATTTAACCTAGGGAGAATCACAGCAACATACACAGCAAAAGAAGCACAGGGACAGATTCAGAGTCCAGTGAGAGTGACAGAGCAGTTGTGGCCCACTGAGGCTGCAGACTTTGATGTTTCATTAGCCTCACAACTTTCAGTGACTGGGAAAACTACCAAGGTAATTAAATCAGCAAGAGGTAGAGGAGGGAGTCCAAGGAAAATCACTTTTTTTTTCTCTTTGAGATTTGTAGATAGTTTAGTGAGATTTAGTTTACATTTGTAAGTGGTTTGTAAGCTCTGAAATATATTGGTTTTTTTTTTAATCTGTGAAGACACAGAAAAATAATTAAATGGGAGGAGAAATTGTATCTTTATCATTAGTGTTCATTGTTATGAAACATTACAGATGTCCCTTGTGTGGCAGTATTTCCTTAGTCCCAATTGGTTAGAGGAACAACATGGTCATTGTGTATAGTACTGAAATAGATCTCCTGCAACGAGTCTGTTAGCAGGTGTCTATATGTGTTTGATAACTAACTCAAAAATAAAACATTATAAAGATTTGATTATTTCATTTAAAATAGATGATGTCAGGAAGATATTAATGTAGCTGAAAGGAAAGTTAATATCATCAGCCTTGGGCATTATTAATATTTTAATGTATATGCTTTTGAGTAGATGAAACATCATCATGGTTCAGAAATAAATAAATAAATGTATCAAAATTAAACAAGATAAACTTTCCTGCTCACTTCTGCCTCTTTTGTCCACTTTCTATCTCTCTCCTACCCTAGTAGGCAGTCATTCCCTATCTTTGGGAAGACGGTGCACACGGTCGCGGGCACACACACGCGCGCGCACACACGCACATGCGCACATACAACACACACACGCTATTATTGGACACAATGTCATCATGCTGGATGCTGTAATAGAATTATGCTAATGCAGGTTTAATTGTTTTGTAGAATGGATTCATCTTCAGGACAGTAGTCTACTTTAATTCTTTCCTGTTAGTACCTTGAACTTGTAGATGTGGCTAAAGATCTTTGGATTGGTTATTTTTACCAGCTCTAAGAGCGTAGCTCTGCACTTGGATACAATCTTGATAGGAAATACCATTTCTGATGGTTCAGATTGTTTTTAATTCTCTTCCTGCCTTCTCTCTAGGGAAGAGTACTATTCTAGAAAGTACAGGTATTACTTTGAGACATTTGCAAATACATTTTCAGAATGCACGTCAGTTCCTGTCTAATTCTTTTTTTTTTTTTTTTTTCTGAGACAGGGTTTCTCTGTGTAGCCCTGGGTGTCCTGGAACTCACTTTGTAGACCAGGCTGACCTCGAACTCAGAAATCCACCTGCCTCTGCCTCCCAAGTGCTGGGATTAAAGGCATGTTTCACCACTGCCCGGCTCCTCTCTAATTCTTTTGTAACTTCTGGCATGGGAGTTTACTTTATCTGAGCACTTTCTTGTATTATTTCTTTGTTCTGTAGGCAATGCAAGGAAACAAATTTCCAAGAAGAAAACATCAGATAAAAAAGGGCGGTATCAGAGGGAGTGTCTCCACTATTCTCCTCTTGATGATGTTAAACAGCGCAAAGTGTTAGACCTTAGGCGATGGTATGTGGCCATGTCAGATTTTATTTTTTCCAATCTTAAAAATATGTAATTTGACATTAATTTTGTTGAGTATTGGTTAATAAATTATATTTATTATAAACAGTTCCAAAATTGTGTCTAAATACTTTATGTATATCTCAGATTTTGGAAGTAGTCTAGTTTAGCTCAGCCAGAATTTTCTAGACTCGCCTAACTGTCAGTCTCATTCAATGATCCTTCTCAACGGTTAGCTACGTTGGGTGATACTTAAATTTGAAGTAGTTTTTTACCTGGTTCTTCTTTGTTGAAGAACAGGAAGTAACTGTTAGCTTACAGCTATTTTAATTATTGCCATACCTAGTAAAATTAACAATATTTCTTGTGTGTATACTTTCCAGAGTAAATTAACACTTTATAGATTGTTCTCAAAGTTCATCATATACGTGCTTGCCTGTCATGGTCCATGAGTTTCAATCTAGAATCTCCAGCTTTCTTTCTTTGTTTCCTTCTCTCTCTGGAGGATTTCATGTTTCCTTTTTAAGTCCTCGGTGACAGTTCTGTTCTGGGGATCTCTGTCCAGGGGTTCATGGCATGTGCTTTGGTCTGAGAAGAATCTCTGAACTTCTTGACACAAGGGAAAGTGATTTGCTTTGTTTCTTCCAGATTTCAGAAGTTTCAAATGATCCTGTGCCTACTAAAATGGGCGTTCACATAGAAATTTGAGTAGTTGGTATCAGAATTTCTTGGTTTAAATAAAATGTACTTTAGTAGGTTGCTAGCCATAATGTAGCTCATCTTGATAAAATAGATTATTTTTACTCTTATACATTTTTTATGTGTTTAATAAGTAGGAAATACTTTAAACAAAAATGATTTTACACTGCATTAAAGTTTGCATTATGGTCATATTTTAAATCACCCGTAAGATTTATATTTTTGTTCTGCATGTTTTGTATTCATTCAAGTGAAGGGTACTGTTTGATTTCCCAGGTACTGCATAAGCCGACCACAATACAAGACTTCATGTGGTATCTCCTCATTGATTTCTTGTTGGAATTTCTTATACAGCATTATGGGAGCTGGGAAGTAAGTACTCCAGTTTACTGCTAACATCAAACTCCGACTTTGAAAGTAGTTTGAAGGAAACTGATTATGATGGTGCACACCTTTAATCCAAGCACTCAGGAGGCAGAATGCGGCAGATTTTTGTGAGTTTGAAATCAGGCTGGTCTACAGAATAAATTCTAGGGCATCTAGGTCTACATAGAGACCCTGTCTTAAGAAGCCAAAAAAAACCCCACAAAAAACAAAAATCAAAAGAAAATAAAACAAAAAAAGAAAGAAAAGAAAAAAAGAATTTTATTTATTTATTTATTTATTTTTTATTTATTTATTTTTTTCGAGACAGGGTTTCTCTGTGTAGTTCTGGCTGTCCTGGAACTTACTCTGTAGACCAGGCTGGCCTGGAACTCAGAAATCCACCTGCCTCTGCCTCCCAAGTGCTGGGATTAAAGGTGTGGGCCACCACCACCCGGCTGCTTTTTTTTTTTTTTTTGAAAAAAGAATTTTAAAGTACCTATTTTTTAATGGAAGATTCTGAGAGTTGACTTTTCACAAACTGAGAAAAATTATGTATATTGTTATAAGCCTTTCAGGTTAAATTATTTGCATGTATTCTTTTCAATAAAATAAATGAAAAATATCACTAAACTGTTTCTAAGCTAACCATATATTATTAACACTGAGGCATATTTTATTTGCATATGACTGGAACTGTGAAATGAAAGGAAATGTTTCTTTTCTAGTCTCCCACCTATTACCCAAGAAGAAGCATTACATATTTTGGGCTTCCAGCCCCCATTTGAAGATATTAGGTTTGGCCCTTTCACTGGAAATACAACACTCATGAGGTACGGAGCGTCCACTTAAGGACAACATCTTATTTCTAATTCTGTGAAGTGATAGCGCTGTAGTGTTTGGGGACATTACAAGATAGACTTGGGTGCTGGGTCCCACCTTAGATATGCCATGTGGGCTGTGCTTGGGTTTCTGTGCAATTAGGACAGTGGCCTGTCTGTGTTATGAAACTATTGCTATGAGCAAATCTTCTTCTTAATTTCAGATGGTTTAGACAAATTAATGACCACTTTCATGTGAAAGGATGCTCTTATGTTCTATATAAGCCCCATGGGAAGAACAAAACAGCTGGAGAAACTGGTAGGTGAAAATACACACACACACACACACACACACACTCACTCACTCACTCCAAGCTTTCAGGTTGACTACATCTCAGAAATTGGCTATATTGTTTCCTGGGACATCAAATTAACTTTTAACAGTCTGATGTTTTCATACCTCTTTTTTTTGTTTGTTTGTTTTTTTTGTTTTTTTCGAGACAGGGTTTCACCACCGTGCAGCTTCATATCTCTTTAAGAGGAAAATCATGATAATAATATGTAGGACACTGTTAGTACGCAGTTCAATTTTTTCCCCTTCTGATATTATATGTAGATGTTAAAACTTTAAAACATGTTTATAGCCAGGCAGTGGTGGCACACGCCTTTAATCCCAGCACTTGGGAGGCAGAGGAAGGTGGATTTCTGAGTTCGAGGCCAGCCTTGTCTACAGAGTGAGTTCCAGGACAGCCAGGGCTACACAGAGAAACCCTGTCTCAACTCCCCCACCCCCCCCCAAAAAAAATGTTTATAAACACTGCTCTTAACACATTGTTTGTATGGTTTAGGACCTTGTTATGTTTGTGTGTGCATGATAATTAAACTTCTAGGGAAAAGCATGGAATTTGCAGTTTGTTTTAAAACAGAGTGAGAGCACTTGAGGACCTGTGATTCTGGACTGGAATCAGATGATAACACAAAACGACAGGGCAACTGTTGTAAGACACTCCTGGTTTTAATAGACATATTAATGAAGTTAATCATAAGGATTACTTGTTATATACTAGTTGAATTATTTGTATTGTTTAATGACTTTAACTTAAATTGTCACAATAAACTTTGAACTTTATGGCGCAGACAGCTGTAAGGTACTGCTGTTAAAGAAGAAACTTTTCTGGCTCTCCTTGAAATGGGAGTGTTTATTCAAGATTGTTGCACTGGGGTACTGAGATAAGGATTAAGAAGTAACCTCAGCTTCAGAGGTGATAGAGGTGGATGTAAAGGCACATGGATGATTGACTCTAAAGAATATAGGACATTGAGAAACTGTAGGTAGTAATGTAAAGTTGACAACATTCTCAAAGTATAAAAATATAAAACAATTAATGAAATGTAATAAAACAACAAAAGGGCTCCTGATGTTGGCTTAGGATTAGTATTCAGAAATTTTATGACTTTTCTTTGATCAACTGTGCTGTCCATTATGTTTTGGAGCATAATTTTGTTAGAGATTTTAGTGTATGGATCTTCAGGACAACAGTAGTTGGTTTACTTTGTAATGGTCCTGGTTCCTTCAGTTCTTAATGAGTTATTTGTACAATGAGTAGATGGATATGAATGTTGTTATCCAGTTTCCTAATGGACTAGGATATGTTAGGATGCTTGGCACTGCCACACTCTGTTTTCTTTTACCTCTGTTTAAACATTCTTAAACATAAAAGCCCAGTCTTATATTTATAGAGTGGAATAAATTATTTCCTTTAAAGTTTTTAAAACTACATATATTTTTGTATTTATTTCATGTGTGATCAAAGGACAACCTGAGGGAGTTAGTTCTCTCCTTTCACTGTTTGGGTCCTGGGGATCAAACTAGGGCAATAATGCTTGAGAGCAGGTACCTTTACCTCCTGAGCCATCTTTCTGATCCGCTCTCTTTTTATCTCCCTTTTTATGCAAAGGCATGATGGTAGTTTCTTCAAATAAAGGTTAATGACGTCTTTTACCAATTATGTCTCACCTTCTCTATCAGTGCTCCTCCCAAACCCCTCCCCCTTCACAACCTGGCACCATTTCTGAAATGTCTCTGGACAGTGTAGCCCCAGAATCTAATTATCTTCTCTACTACTATCCATTGGCCCTTCGTCTGTCTATATTGCTAAAACCGCAACTCTTCAATAAGTTCCATCTTGAATGCCACCCCTTCTTGATTCCTCTGACTTCTATACCCGTTTGTGACACTTTAACATTAGCTCTCTCATCTTCCGTGCTAGAGCTTGTCTTGCTTCCATATGTTATCTAATAGAGTTACTAGGTACTCATGAGTTAAATTAAAATCTCTATTTACTCTAAACTAGCTGCTTTCAAAATACTGTCTCTGGATGTATCACCTGGTAACTTGTTAGAAATGCAAATTATTTCCCATCCACAGACCTACAAGGTCAGCCACTCAGACTGTGCTCAAGTAAGACTTTATTGAAGTCTTGCCAACGAGATGGTATGGGCCTCTTTACCAAAAGTTTGGTTTTGCATTGCAATTGAGAAGAGACTTAATCATTTTCTAATGGTGCTCAGATGAAACCTGAGGATTCCACTTAAAGGCTTTGACCTGAAAGGGAGATGGCAGAAGAGAACTGCTCATACACTTATTTTGGCTACAGCAGCTCTGCTTTAAGAATAAGTTTGTGGATCTTGAAATCATCTGAAGAATGTTGTGTACTTTGGAGAAACAAGAACAAACATCCTATTACTAGAAATCATGTGTATAGATGTTATATATTATATTTAACAGTGCTAGAAACATTATTCCATAGAAGAAAACATATGTCATGGCATTTGGAAAACTAGGTCATGGAAAAAAGTCTGTTTGCTGCAAACAAAATTATGTGATTGTCAAGGAGGGTAGACGTTGTTATCCATCTCATCTGCCCCTAGAATCCTTATCTGTCTCTCTCCTCCCTCTCCCTCTCCCTCTCCCTCTCCCTCCTTCCGTCCCTCCCTCCCTTCCTTCTTTTCTTTCTTCCCTGGACTCTTGAATTTTGTCTTTGTTTCTTTCATTCATTTATTAGTTTTGAGACAGGATTTCTCTGTGTAGCTCTGGCTGTTCTGAAACTTGTTCTTGTAGAGCTGTAGGCTAGCCTTGAAGTCACAGAAATCCACCTGCTTCCTGAGTTCTGGGCTTAAAGGCATGTGCCACTACAGCTGGCAAAAGTCTCTTTTATTGAATAGGTCTGGGATGCCAGGCATATTGGCTCAGGGCCTGTAGTGCGAGCACTGAGGAGGCCAGAACAGCATAATTGCTCTGTGTACAAGACCATCTGGGGGCCGGGAGGTGGTGGCGCACACCTTTAATCCCAGCACTTGGGAGGCAGAGGCAGGTGGATTTCTGAGTTCGAGAGTTCGAGGCTAGCCTGGTCTACAGAGTGAGTTTCAGGACAGCCAGGGCTACACAGAGAAACCCTGTCTCGAAAAAAACAAACAAACAAAAAAGACCATCCGGGGCCTCCTTCACATTGTGTTTCAGGCTAGCCAGAACTACAGAGTAAGACTTTGTCTATGGCCATACGTCTCTGAATGAGTTCAGTCTTACCTGATCTCAGAAGGTCTAGCCTGGTTAGTACTTGGGAGAAAGAGTGAGACTCTGTCTTAAGAAACAGAGTCAATTACCAGAACTTACACTGTACTCAGAGGTAGAGCTTGCCAAACATAAAGGCTTTGAGTTCAAGTATTATTGCAAAACAGCATTTTCAGTCATCTGAGAAAGCTTCTCATTGATTAATTTAAATTTAAAAACATTTCAGTGATTTTTCTATGGCAGTTGTGGTAATAGTCATCGTTTACAATGTTTGGGTATATAGAGTAAAGCTATCTTAATCCACCTGGAACAATCATGTTCTTTTATGGAAATGAAAGACTGTACTGAATTTATTTCTAAAAATTCTTCATCTAAACTGCCAAGGGGATCAGTTTTTAAGATGTGAGAGAACATAAGTCAATCCTGTGGAGTGGCTAATCATTATTGGCCTTTGTGAGATAGAGGTTTCAGTAGAGAGGACTCCCTATCTGTGCAGATCCACCTGGAACTGAAAATCTGTGTGGAATGCCTTGATGGAACTTCAGAGACCAGAAACATTAACATATGCATAGGCAGAGCTCCCACCCCAAAACCCTTGTGAGCAGGTTGCCTCTGTGGAGCTGCTGCAGACACACTGACTAGCAGATCTTGGTGGTCGTCAGGTATTTCAGTGGCCAGAAAGTTGATTGCTGTGAACACACCATACAGGCTTTCAGCTTGCTTTTTTAAGGGTTTCCAGTTTTAATAGACTACTTGTTAATGAATAATTTAAGTTCTTCCAGGAATGGAAGCTAATGAAACCTCAATTAATGGCTTTGAGTACTGAGTGCTGATAAAATCAAGTTTCTTATGCTAATACTTTGGAAATCATTTGATAGCTATTATATTATTATATTATAGTGATGGGCAACAGATGAGAAACAGCTGTGCAGCTCCAGCCTGACTGCTAAGCTGATGCCTTTGATCTGTATGATGTGTGTGGAAAAGCTGATGACTTTCATCTGTGTGACAGGTGTAGAAAGACAATTATCTTAGTGTTTCTTTTGCTGTGATGGAAACCATGACCAGAGCAACTTAGGGAGGCATTTGGCTGGTGTGTCCTGACACAGTCTATTGAGTAAAGCCAAAACAGGAACTCAAAATGGTAGGAACCTGGAGGTACAACCTGATGTAGACCATAGAAGAATGCTGCTTACTGACCTGCTCCCCATGGAATGTTCAGACTACTTTTTAATAGAATCCAGACCCAACAGCCCAGGAATGGCACCACCCACAATGAACTGAGCCCTCCCACATCAATTACCAATTAAGAAAACGCTCTACAGGCTTGTCTACAGCCATATCTTACTAAGGTATTTTCTAAATCAAAGTTTCCTCCTTTCAAATGACTGTAGATTGTGTAGGTTGACACAAAATGAGCCAATACAATGATAATATTTGTTATTATGTGGCAGGTGTGTATGTGTGTGTATGTGTATGCATGCACACCATTGTTATAGTTTGTTGTTATTTAAGGTTTGTGTTTATTCATATGCATTAACAAACTTTAAGTTGGATGTAGATGTTTCATCTAGACATTAGAATGTCTATAATCTAATTTAAGGTTCTTTTGTAAATCTTTTGGAGACTTAGTTTATATGTGAGAGTTTATAGACACATATGTTTCACTTGGGCATGTGTGGGACTGCGTAAGGGTATTCTGGGTCATGGCTGGGCTTAGAACCCCGAGTCTCTGCATGAGAACCCGCAGGAGTTCAGCATGCCCCAAGAACTCAAGGTCCTGAAAAGCAGTCCAGTCTCCATAGAATTACATTGTTCAGTCAAGTAGGCCAGACTGTAGGCCTCAGGCCCTAGGGATTTACATACTAATGAAGGCCAGAGAGCCCCTCCCAAAGTGCACAGGTAGAGGGTGTGACTAGAGGCCTCAGGCCCTAGGGATTTACATACTAATAAAGGCCAGAGGGCAGAGCAAATTAAGCATGCCTCCCCAGATCCTCCCCTGATTCTCCCCCAATCGTCCCCCTTTCTCCCTCCCTATTTAACTCGGGACTGGCCTGAGTTTTACAGGGCGTACTTCCAGATTCATCCACCATCAGTCATGACAATAAACGTTTTGGAACCAAGGACTTCCTTGTGTCATTGGGGCTTACCGTCACAAAGCCCCCGTCCTCTGGAACCATAGGCGATCCTCCTGCCTGGGACACCACCACTGCGGTCTCTAATTTTTCCCCACAGGCATGCTCATTCAGAAGCTGGTAGTGAGAGATGTTCAGAAGCAGAAAAGCTAAGACTATGATTGTGCAATTACTGGGCTTTACGCAATCATTGAATATCTTAGACAACTTGGTATATTCTTAGAAAGTTCTGATAAGCAAGGACATGTTTCACTTGTTTTGCTATTGAGTTTATCCAAAACTAAAGTAAATTCATTCATATTTTTGCTCACATGGGTAGCTCTTCATTCCCTTGATGAAACTCAAAATGTCAGTGTATTCCAAATTCTGTCTTTTAGTCCTTAACTAGTCCTTTGTATTAAATGTGGACATTGCTTTGTGTCCCTCAGTTTGTCTGGTTTTCTCTTTGAAGCACCAGGGGCCTTATCAAAGTTGACCCGAGGACTGAAAGACGAGTCACTGGCTTATATCTATCATTGCCAAAACCATTACTTCTGTCCAATTGGCTTTGAAGCAACCCCTGTTAAAGCTAACAAAGCATTCAGGTAAGCATTGCCATACTTGATAAAGGCACAACACTAGGAAAATTTGATGTACAACATACTCTTGGAACTTAAACAGATTCTAGCCCCTTAGAAATCGGCAAGCTTGGTAATGTGTTTTATTCAAACCGAGTGAGCATTCGTTTTTGGAGGACTGATTTGCATTTCAAAGCTGTTGCTCAGTTATTGCAAGAAAAAGCCATCTGATGTACCACTTTTATGACTATTATACACAGGTGCAGGGGCCTTCCTATGTTATGCCCAGTGTCCTTTCCATTGCCTTACATGTTCTTGTGTCAAGAGTGCTACAACTAAAAAAAAGCTACATTAAAAAGCACCTTCTATCGTCATAGTGAAGAACTAAGGAATTGTTAGGGGTTTTCTCCAAGGGAGCTCAGGAACAGTTTCATCTCTAATCTTCTTGGTTATATTTGCCTCTTGCTTTTCTTAATCCAGTTTCTGTTATTAGAACAACATCTTTTTATACACACACACACACACACACACACACACACAAACTTCTGTCTCTTTGAAGGAGATTTGTTCAACAGAAGGGTGCTGAGTTTGAATGTTATTCTCTTTACCAAGTTCTTTCATGAGGGACCTGAAAACAGGTTATTTTTAAGAACAGGTAACATGACTGTCTTACCCTACTGCTTTGCTGGTTTATTCACACTTGGCTTGGTGAGATTAGTGACTAGGGAGGATGAAAAGATTGGGTGGCCCTTGGAAGTTATCTCTTCAGTGAGGGCCCAGATTCTGGCTGGAAAATATAGCATGACCTTTGGGACAGGAGGGTTTTTGTGTACTGGAGGCCATGGACCCCTGAAGTCCCACTTAAAGGTCCTTGGATGTGGTGCCTAAGGGAACCTGAAACAGATGAGCAGAAGTTGGAGGACTCAGGAGGCTGAATACTGCTTGTGTATGAGGAGCAAGAATAAAACTGCTTTCTCTCCAACCCCTGACAGGCTCTGTTCACTTTTTGGAGTGAGGGGCACTTTTGCAGTTCTTTTATGATTCCAACCTATGCTTTTACCTTCCTTCAAGTACCTACCAATTATAAAACATGCTTTGACTTCTACTGCTCTGTTCCTTTAATAGTTTGGCTTCACCAGTGAATACCTGTGCCTGTGAACCATCTAAATTTTTTCTTAAAACTTTTGCAAATCTCCAGGCTCCTTTCCAGACTTGAATTAGAATTTCCAGAGATGGTATTGGAACATTGTATGTTTAAAATCATCATCTTCTCCTCTGATCCAAGGGGGTAATATGCTAAAATGTTTATAACCCTAAATTTTGAATATGGATGTAATAAGGCCCATATCTAATTCAAGGATTTCTAGAATGGCCCATTCTAGATTCACAAAACCATCTTTGAGTTAAAAATTTGATCTGTTCTTTCAGTGAAGGAACTATCACAGCATTCTATGGGGGAATGAAACCGCTTATCAAGCTAACTATGAATGGAATTTTTTTTTTTTTTAAGCAGGGGCCCCCTCTCATCACAAGAAGTAGAATACTGGATTTTAATTGGAGAGTCAAGTAGAAAACATCCTGCCATTCACTGCAAAAGGTATGTTTTAGTAGTGTTTATGGTTTTTTCTTTTCTTCTTCTTTTTTTTTTTAAATTGGGGTAATAGTTCCTTCACTGAAAGAACAGATCAAAATTGTGCAACTAGATGCATGTAGATAAATATGCACACCTGTGTGGTCATTACCCTGTGCAGCCCTCCCACAGAAAGCTCATCTACATTCTAGTTCTCTCCAATCCCACAGCTAGTCAGTTCTGTTTCCCATTACTACAGATGTGCTTATTTTTGTTTTGGAATTGTTTGAAAACAAAATTCTATCTATCTTCTCCCGGGCCCCAGCCCGGCCCCTTCCCCCTTATCCTTGTCTCCGCCCCCGCCCGCTCCCGCCGCCCCGGCCCCCCCCCCCCGTTTGCTTTCCCATATAGGTAACATATTAAGAATTTTTTTCTCTAAAAAATTTTAGAATTGGTTCATTTCTGCTAAAAGTCCTGATGCATATTTGATTAAAATAAAATCTTTAGGACTAGTGAGGTGGCTCACTACCAGGTTACAGGTGCTTGCATGCAGGCATGATAATCTGAGTTAGATCCCAGGAATCAACAAGATAGAATGAGAGAACCAATTATTGATAGTTATCTTCCAAACTCTAGTCATACAGAATGGCCTGTGCATGTGCCTGCCTGCTCTCTCTCCTTCCTAGTCAGTCACCTAGTCTTTCTCTCTCCCCTTCTCTGTTTCTCCACCCCTGCTGAGAGCCTCCTGGCCTGGAGAGGGTTGAGACAGGGCATAGAGTAGGACTCTGGTGTGGCTTTAAATACTGAAAGCCTCCAGATCTTCTAGCTCTCTAATTATACTGAAATGCTAGTGATAACTTCAAAAAGTCCTAAAAACTTTCTTGCTAATTCTGAGGGTAAAAAGCTGCTGGCTTAGGTGACTGACATCTGTAGCCCAACAGTGGGGGATTAAGTAATGTGGCCTTTGTTCTATCTCAGCAGGAACTGCACAGCTCTAACTTTCAGCCTGCTAGTAGAAGTTGCAGGAAGAAAAAGGGACACTTTGAGAAGGGATTATAGCGTTTATTACTAAGTTATAAAAAGTTACCTATGAAAGATCTCTAAGAAAAAGGCGAAAGGCAGAAAGATCCTAAGCGGGGCAGGGGAAAATTTTTCTTTCTTGCACTCTTCTCTTTGGATCAGTAAACTTCTATTGAACCAGGAGAAGAGAATAATGCTCACAGAAGGAAAAACTTTATATATAAACAAATATGCATAAACTCACATGAATTTATATACAGATACACGCATGCGCATTTATACATATCCATTCAAACCAGGTTGGATCCAGCTTGCGTACATTCTCACAATTATATACTTACACACACACACATCCATCCTTACATATGCATTTGAAGCAAAAGACCAAGCACCAGTGCAAAAAGAACTCACTCATTTTGGATGAAAAATGAGCTCCAATCTTTATTGCACAGAGAAAGAAAAGGCTTCTACCCTTTTCATGCTAAATGAATTAAACTCAAGTTTGTAAGAAAAAAGCCTTGTTCCCTTTAATAAGACTAAGCTTACCTTAAGAATAGACCTGTTTTGTCTCATGCTAAGAAGCCTGCCTTCTTCTTCTATTCTGTCTTAAATTCTGTTCGTACCTGACTAAAAAATGTTCTGTCTAAAAAGGTTCTCCTCAGCTCAGATCTGACTCTTATCTTTGTCCTCAGCACTTAAATACCTTTCAGAATACATGAGCACATGGTAAAATGTTCACCACAAGTTTACACAAATTTAAATCACAAATAGAATAATAAGTTTACAACAGTGAATGTTTACATGCATATCCATTAGGAGTAATTTCTGGCTAAACATTCATCACTTGTCACAGCTCCACAGGTTCACTGAAAGTTAAAGACCATAACTAAGTTATTAGTGAAGTTTTGTATAGATAAACCCAGTCAATATTTTATCTTCTGTCCTAGCAGCTATAATAAATCATTAGTTCCCTTTCTATGACCTTGGTTAATGGTTTTACAACCTCTTTGATTTGCTCTGAGTAGTCCCACTGTAAAGAGCTTAATAAATACTGATATAATTTTAGGAATTCTTATAGGATCATCATTAAGAATTAAGAAGTCATCCATTTGTCTATATAACATTACTACAAGACAGTACCTCTTTATAGATCTGCATAGATCTGCTCAAAAAGATGGGCTAATACCTAGTGATTGTTATATATGTTTAATGATAGTAGGGGAAACATATTAATAGCAGGAATCTTTCTAAAAATGATTTTCTCCTGGGCCTTGCCTATGGGAGCAAATCTGTCGCAGATTATAATCTGAGGCAGACCATCTCAGTAAGATCACTGGCTAGTTGTTAGTTTGCCCTATGATGGCTCCTGACACATGCCTTTGCTCTTTTTCACTATTGCCTGTCCATACACACAGACTGACACAATCTGAGAATTCATGGTGTAGTTCAGAGAGAATTGACATCATAATGACATGGACTCTTACAAGCTAATATCAAGGACTATATCACCACATAATCAGAACTTTAATTTCCTTTAGCAGTGATTTTGATTTTTCATATAACCTCACACATCCTTTAAGTGATTCTTCCTATTGTAAATTGATTTAAAATTTTCATTTTATGTTATTGATGGTAATATAAAGAAAAAGAACTCCCTGACTTAACTATATAGACCTTGATATTCACATCTTTACCAAATTTACTTATTATTTCTATAAAACTTGCTTTGATTTTTCTCTACAAGCATTTTGTTTATTAGTAATTTTGTTAGACTGTGGCACATAGTGGCACATTGTTAAATGAGGCAAAAGGATCCTGTAAACCAAGGGGTTCAAGGCCAGCTTATACAACATATAAAATCGCATCCATCCCCCCCCCTCAATAAGAAAATAAATTGACTTGAGTGTAATAGATAGTGTAGCATGCCACTGCTTTAGCCTGCCAGGTATTATCTGGTATGTTGACATATAAGAATAGGAACCAATTATAAACTGAGAACATTGACAGTAATTGGATAACTACAACTGTCACTCACACAGAAAAAGAAGCTTTTAAAGGCCAGTCCATAGAACAATGCTGACCTAAGAGAACAATCACCAATTATTATAGCAGCTTGTTCATGGAAAAAGCTTTACTATAGTGGTACTTTGGACCTAAACAAAACTGTCCTTTTTCTTATTATAGATGGGCAGATATTGTCACTGATCTAAACACTCAAAATCCAGAATTCTTAGATATCCGACATCTAGAGAGGGGGCTGCAGTTCCGGAAAACCAAGAAGGTAAGACTATTACTACATTGGAAATAATTTGTCAAATGACCAGAATGCAGTACTTTATTAATAATTTTGTCTTGGTAAATAACAGAAACCAAGTTCAAACTAGCTTAGTCAGACAAGTAAGACTATTTTAAGGATTCAGGCTAACTTTAAACTTCCAGCTAAGGATAGTCATAAGGAAATGACACCCAGTACTCCAGTAATGGTAGAAGCCCAATAGCTTAGAATGCTAATCACTCTTATGTAGGCTGTGTTGTATTCAGTGCTTTATCTGAATATAAATTTCTTGCACAATAACTTTCAATGGGTGACTTATTTTCAGGTGTAGATTGAGACTTAACATGCCTTGGTTGAGTTCCATAGTCTTAGCCCAAGTTGGGTAAATTATGGTTACAAGGCAGAGGCAAGTGTTCAAGCATAACTAAAGAAAGAAGCTTTCAGAAAGATATAATGTAGATTCAGTAGGCAACCTTTTGCTGTAAATGAAGCTGGGAACGGTAGCACATGGTACCATTCTTGTAATCTCAGCTCTTAGGTGAGGATTTTCATGCTATTTTACGCTATTGAGATTATGGCTCAAAAGTCTTGTGTAAACATAGACACAGACACAGACAGACAGACAGACAGACAGACACACACACACACACATGAGGGAATACGATAGGATTTTACACAAGACAGGAAAAGCATGATCTTAATCTGTGAGTCAGGAGTATGCTGACTCTAGGCTGTGGAAAGGCATACGGAACACAAGTGCTCTGGTCCCTAAGGGCTTTGTTAATAACGTAAAGGCAGCTGTTGTGAAAGGTGAGTATGTTAGTGTGCTCTGACAAAAGCAGAATAGAAAAGTAGTGTTGTCAGACATGTGGAAGAATAACACTATCACCCCAAGGGAGTCAATAAGGACCCCACAAACTTACAAACTTATTTTCTCTTTATTGTCTCCATCTTTTTTTCCTTCTTAGGTTGGAGGAAATTTGCATTGCATCATAGCATTCCAGAGACTCAGTTGGCAAAGATTTGGCTTTTGGAACTTTCCATTTGGAACCATTACACAAGAATCACAACCTCCCACACATGTCCCGGGAATTGCCAAATCTGAGAGTGAGGACAATATCTCTAAGAAGCAGCATGGGCGTCTGGGCAGATCCTTCAGTGCTAGTTTCCACCAGGACTCAGCATGGAAGAAGATGTCTAGCATCCATGAGAGAAGGAACAGTGGCTACAACAGCTTTAGAGATTACAATGGCAATGACTGATCATGCCAAAACTTAAATCACTGTTGTCACCCACACAGCTGTTATGTACAGGACTGCATTAAGACATCAGATGGTTTTATTAAGTCTATCAATAGGAACAGAGTTTGTGGTACACAGCATACCCTGTAGTTCTCTAGTAAAAAAGCCTACATAGGATTACTATGGGTGGCTTCAAATATACAGGCAGGTAAGCACAGAATTCTGCCCTTTTAAAGCTAAAAGTAGATAAGCAATCTGGACAAAGGGTTTCACAAAATCCAATACAATCAAAACTGCTTCAAAGGAAAAACACAAATGCATTTAACAGCATCAAAACGTGAACTACTTACGCATGAAGTGATTTATTGAACTAGTCATTTATTAAAGATACTTTGATTCCTAAGGTACCATCTGTCCTTTAACAATGGGGACAGTCAAGGTCTAGTTTTTGCTCATAGTTAAACTAATTTAAAATTATCTTTCTAGTCTAGTTATTCTTTCAGTGCTAACAGTATCCACCTCACATCTTTGCTTTCCTGAATAACTGTCTCAGGATTCTCCAAAAAGAAGCAGAAAATACTCAAGAAATTGACCTTTTCTATAGGTGCAGATGGGTGGGTGACATAGGTCATTGATCTTGATACTCTTAACTTGGCACATGGCTGTGAGATAGTTACAAGAAGAATAGGTCTTGAGTGAGGTCTGATGTTTTAGAACAAACCTTGTTTTAGGGATATAGTTACAGAACACTCGGAATCCAAAGTTTCTATCTACATATCCATGGTAATATGTGCAGTGAGATGTCACATTTGACTTGTCTCTTAATGGAGTCATGTGTTAACAATAGCACTGAAGACATGTTGGCAATGTCCAGCCCACTCTAAGGACAACTTTGTATTCTCAACTCTGAGCTGTTTCCTTTTGTGAAACATCCAAGCAATTAGGTGTTTAAAGTCTGTGTTAAATACTTTGGAAAGTGTGAATTCAAGAATTGAGCTCCTCTTTAGCTGCTGCTGTTTTCCTTTTGCTACCAAGGTGTGACTCATAGACATCTATGATGCTGTTCTTTCACGTCATAGGTTCATTCCAGGATGCAAATCAGTAACTTGGTGATTACAAGGTGCTGAGTATGTTGAAACCATATTGCAATACACCTCAAAGGGAGGTTTCAGATTTTGACTTTTTAAAAAAAATTCATTTTTTCTCTTGAATTTTATATCCATTTACCCACTCCTATATGTTTAGCCTACAGAGTTACAAAATGGTCCTGTTTCTGAAGAGATTATTTAGCTTGAAATGTAAAGAACTGAAAGATTTGTAGGTTGTTGATTTTGTTACTTCACATTGGAATTTTGAAAATGTTTTCATTGAATAAAGTTTTGTTTTCTACTTTTGATCCTATGAATTTTAATGTCTATGTTTAAGTTAGCGTATATCCTTGTAACTGTGTGAAGCATATGATAAATTGTTAATTCTATGTAATTAGTGTTATAAGAAACATCTAACAATTTTTATAATCACTGAAACAATGTGAAAGTCAATGACTTCCATTCCATGCTTGCTACTTTTCAAGTACTTGAACACTGATTCTCTAATACTTCACAACATGATTTGGAAATTTTCTTATATTAGTTTGAGAAAATACAAGATTGGAATTTTTGTAATTCAAGTGTATTTTCAATATAAACTTTTTTAATAGTTCAATCGAATATTTCAAAGAAATAGGTTTGAAGAGCTAACAGGAAAGAATACAAATGCAAAATAAAATATAAACCTGAAGAACAAAGTGGCAGCTGGGAAAATAAGATGAGTTTATTTCCTGTATACTAATCATATGCTTTATTAAAAACACTGACTGACAGATGACCACATAAAACTTAAGCTTACAAATTTAAAAGTTACTTAGAGCACAGAATGTTTGAATTCCGTGGAAGTTGTTTTCAGGGTGTGCAGGTAAGTGTTCCTGCATAGTTCCTTTTGAAAACTAGCAATATTCCTGTCCTATTGGATTTGTTAGTCAACCTGTCTTAGAAATCTTCACAGATCTTCTAATGAAGGATACTGATTGGCTCAGAAATTACAAGTTGTCTCACTTGTGAGACTATGTCCTCTTTGGTAGTGGCTTGCAAGAATGGTATGCTAATAAGTATGGTATTTATAATAGTAGTTGAAGATCAGGAGAGCTATTTAAGTGCTTGCTATAATTATTTTGAAAATGTGTTTTTAATTGATTAGTCTGTTATCTGCATGGCAACCTACAGGCAGATATAGTACTGGAGAAGGAACTGAGAGTTCTACATCCTGATTAGAAGGCAGCCAAGAGGGGACAGTCTTCTACAGGCATCCAGGAAGAAGGGTCTCTTCCACACTAGGAGAATAGGACCTCAAAGCTCACCCCTGGTGATGAACTTCCTCTAACAAGGCCACACCTCCTAAAAGTACCGATTCCCATGGGCCAAGTATTTTGAAACCACCACATTTATAGAGCCTGTTAATCCTTTTTTACAGTTACAGGGGTATATCCCATCATATCAAGCAGGTGTAACAACTGAAATGTTCCTCACATTGCTTTGTTTCAGACATGGAATGAGCCTAGGCAACCACTCCAGAATCTATCATATTATTTAACTCAGTTTCACTCTGAGCATTTCTACCCTACCAATCTTTCACTTAAAAATAAAAACAAAACAAAAGCCCTGATCTTAATGCGATCACTTTCTAGGTGCTTTCGTATGAAAATCAGAACAGCACTCCAGCAGCTGGTGGTAGTGACATGTGCCAGCTAAAACTGAAGCTTTCATTGGTGAAGCATCTTGCCTAGCATTATAGAGATTCTTAGTTTGCTAGAACTTTCTTAATAAGGTACTTGGGTTGCTTAAAAACAAGTTGGTTTTTTTTTCCCTCACAGTTATGTAGACCAAGACAAGCTTTTGGCAGATGGCCACTGTTTTTGTCCTCCCATGGCCCTTTCTTTATTTGTAGGCACCCTTTATGTTCCAACTCCCTCTTCTTATTAGGATAGCAATTATACCTGATTAGAGGCTACTCTGATAGTCTCTCTGTATCTCTATGGGGAGATAGGAATCACATCCATGAACTTAGACATATCTTCGTGTTTGTGATATATCACTGATCATGACTCTGTTAGACACAGAAATGGTTTTGTTAAGTTCTGGTTCATGTTCCCTTAGGTCCCAATGGCCTTATTGTTATGACAATCATTTTCTAAAAATCACTTTGGATACAGGCACATTCTGAAGTTCTTATATGCAACATTTGAATTTTGAATTCAACATGAATGCCGACCTGAATGCATAGTAATTCCATGGTCCAGATAAGATCTCAACTATCATCTGGATGACCTCTAATCCAAATATTTTCCACAGGATGCAAAATGTCCTGGGGAGCATCAGACAGGAGACTTGAGAGGTAATTTAAGCAACATTTATGAACTTCCACTATGTACTACAAAGTAAGCGGTGTAACAGATGTCAAGATTGATACCAATTGCAATGAGTTTATAGTCTACTGCTGGAAGTGATAAAAACTACACAGGCAATTAAATTGCCTTCAGTAAAATACTACTGAACTAAAATGCAAAGGCCATAACTTTACACATTGAGGAAATGCCAAAAGCACTTGTGAGACTTATACCCAGTGGAAAATAAGCTGGCACTAAGACAAGTAAACAGGGCTACTGTAAATCATCTGCTTGGACATAGATATGTTTTTGCTAAAATTTGATTTCTGATAAGACTTATGCTGTAAATGATTCTTTTCAGAAATTATCTACTTCTACTACTCCCTTTTTTTCTTAGACAAGGCCTTGTGAGTCTTCAACTTGTGATATCCCTGCCTATCTCCCAGATATTTATGATATTACGTCTGGCTATTATTCCTATCAATCTTTTTTACTGGGTTTGAATTACAATACTGTACATCAAAATTGAACAATTGTACACTAAGTGGTTTGCACACATTAACTCTGCTTGATACGATTGTTCTTTTGTACTGCTTACAGATAGATGATGGAGCAGAAATGCTGAAGACACGTAATCTCCATAGAGCTAACTCTGTAATAAGGCAAAGGGCTGCATTAGATTTAATATGAGCGTACCGTGCCATTTCCTGGCTCTACTCTGCCCAAAGTCATTTCTTACAACTGTGGAACTCAAGGTTTCAGATGCTGGAGGAAATTCAAAATTAAGCACTGCGTTGTGCTGCCACCTGGTTACTGCATGATATGCAAATAGTTTTCTTAAAAAAAAAAAAAAAAAGGTCAAGATACTCATCTTTCTGTTCTTTTCTCGTCGAACCCAATACTTAGCACCAAATCGGCAAAGCTGGGGAGGCAATGGGGAGACTGATAATGAAAATGCACAAAGGAGACTTCACTCCGTTAAGAAATACCTTTTACGCCTAACAGCCAGTCGAAGAGAGGCACTGATTCAAAATTGAATCGCCACACTACACTGACTTCCGGAGTGCCCTGTCGTGGGATTTACGTCAAGTGTCAACGCGGGAATCCCAACTCGTGCGTTCACTTGGAAGCCAAGAGGTTTCAGTTCGTGTGATCAGCGGGAGAAGTCAGTCGCGATAGGAGGAGAAAGATTAGGTGCTAGTGCCACCCGTGCTGCTTAGTACTTTAAGGCGTGCCAACATCTGGGCTGAAGCGTTTCCCCCCCGCCCCCACTTCCACCGCCGCCATATTTAAATCCCGCCGTTTTTCCGGGAGGTCCGGAAGTGCGTCAGCGCGGGGTTTTCCTTTCCAGCCGGTTGACAGGATTCCGTCTAGGGAGCGGTGGGCCCTGCGTGAGCTGAGTGGTGCTGCGTGCTTGAGCCGGGTGCGTCCTTTACCCTAACGTGAAACAAAGGCCCAGCGAGTCCGGCTGAGAGCGCCTGCGCCATGGGAGTGCAGGGGCTGTGGAAGCTGCTGGAGTGCTCTGGCCACCGGGTCAGCCCGGAGGCCCTGGAGGGCAAGGTGCTGGCCGTGGGTATCCTTAAAGGCGGCCCCGGAGCGCTGGATGAGCGCCTGCTCGGTGGCTAGGCTTCATCCGCGTGCCGGTGCTGGGAGTTGCTTGGGTGTCTGCCTATCCAGCTTGCAAGCCTGCTCTCCTCATTCGGGCCCATGTTGTGACCCCTGTCTTTTAGTTCTCACAGCAGAGTAGCTACAGAGTTGTCGTGGAGAATAAGGAGATTTAAATGATAAAATTTGGTATAGCTTCAGGCTCTGTAGTACTACTGTAAATCTGAAAAAATATTCAGTGTGAGAGGTCAGCGTAGAGACAAAAAGGGTTCCGAGCCCCCCCCTTGAATAATTATCTGTTGTTTGTTGGAATAAAGAAATTAATATGGTGTATAGTGAATTAGTTGCCTCCAGCTTCTGTGATGAGTGTGTGAATTTTTAGTTTTGTGTCACTGGAGTTTTGTTTTTCTCCCATTTTGAAAATGTGATACCAATTTTGAAGTTTTGTTTTCATTTGTCTGTTCCACGACCCGTTTTACAGTGCCTCTTTTATCATAGAAGGCACTTTTACACCGTTTTCTTAATGAAAACTAGAAATTCCTGTAAATAGTTGCTGAGCGTGCGTGCATGCATGTATGTGTGTCTTTAGGAGGCAGCATGCTATGTCATTCTGTAAAGTAGAGCAAAGAGGCCACTGATGAGTCAGTTCTTCACTATGTGCCCAGCTTATAATTAATGGAGAACTTACACTTTTGAAAAAAAATCACGTTTTATGCCAAATAAACCAATGACAAAAATTAAAAATTTGTCTTACAGATCTTTACACAGGGTACCATAAGTTGGATAATTCGAAGACCTTTGTAAACGCATCCCAGTGTTTTTTTGGTGTCACTGCAGTTTAAGGATTTCTTAATTATTAGTGATGAAAAGACCAATTTTTAGTGAGGGGTTCTTAAATTCTCATCAAAGGGTTTCAGTTTAGCAGTGGTAGAGCACTTTCTTAGTATGTATGACATACCAGACAGAGTTCCATACCCATCTTTGAGAAAAAGTATTGCTGATAACACCATTAAGGATTTACGTTATTTTCTCTTCCAGCCCTTATAAAGAACTAGGAAGTTAAGCATCGTAGCATTCAGGGATGTCAGAGGAAAAGTAAGCTATGTAGATTATCTGTAAATGGCCAAGTTCCATTTGGGGTGTGAAGTTATGTTTATGTTGTTATTAAGCTTTTCTGAAACAATAGGTTGCTTAAAGAAAATTGTGAAGTATTATGCATACAGTCACATATGCATCACAGAATAGTCTGATTACTTCTGTAATCTAATTTTCTGTTTCATCATGAGAAATCTGATATCTGAAATTTAGGTGTTAGAAATTTGTTCGGTTTGCTAATAAATAAATCATCCACAATTATCTCAGGTTTTTAATTTACATATGTTTCCAAATAAACTGTTTGGGTTTTAGACCATGTGGATAACTGAGTTTCTCATTTAAACAGTTTACGTCTGTATCAAAAAAAAATTAAGTAATAACAGATTAGATTTTTTTTTTCATTACAGACCTTAACATCTGTTAGTACATTACCAGTCTTAAGGAGATAATACCCTTACTGAGCCCATGAACCATGTGAATTGACTTAGTCTTCAGTCACCTAATTCCGGGACTAAGGAAAATGCCCTTTTATTGGTTCTTTGAGTTTAAACTCTAAAGCAAGTTTTGACTTTGCTTCATACTTTAATTTTTCTAGCTCTTGAGGAATTTAATGTTGTCCCATTTGTGTTGAAGCTTGACTAATCAAATTGAGTAAATACTTTCAGCCTGTCTGATTTTATCTGTTTTTTTATTTTTACTAAGAATTTCATGTTGGAACTCTCAACCTTCTATGAGAAGTGGTAAGCTGTGGTTAATTTAAATGTGAAAAGAAATTATTTCAGTGTGATTTAGTGTTTTAGGGATATCTTTTCTCAAATAATCTTTTCTCAGAAGCTGTAGGCCCTAGACACATAGCAGAGTTAAGAGGTAGCTTAACTCTGAAATTGAGTTTTCTCAATTCTAAAGTCAAAAGTGATTGATTGTATAGAAACTTTTAAAATCTTGTATAGCAGTGTAGCAGGCAGAAATGGACCAAGAAGGAGCAGTTGTCCAGAGCAATACAGAACTGAGACTGTGGAAGGCTTGCTCTAAGATGGATCCTGGGCTTGGTCACTCAAGTTAAAACTACTCTCCTTGCAGTTGATTTTTACATGTCTCCTAAGGTCCTAAGTCATTCTAGAAACTGCTCAGAAGTGTGTATATTGTATATCACCTTCCATCCCCAAGTCTCCTCCTAAACCCCCTCCACCCCACCCCCCCACCACATGGAACTTATCTAGAAGTAGCTCTGTCCTATGCATTTGTATTTGCTGATCCTTTTCTCCCTAGGTTTTTCCCTGAACCTCTTGTTCATTCTAGCCATTTTCTTGACATGGACCTTCTGTAACTAGAGTTCTAAACTCTTAATCACTCTCCTGTCCTATTATTTCTTGCCACTTAATGTGTCAATTCTTTTAGAATATGTGCATCTCAGAAATAGGGGTGTATTTGTCTTGTTCACAAATACATTGTTTAATGCATCTCCATAGTGTCTTGGATTTACTTTTACATGGGAGCTCTTTAGTATATAGGGATGGATACAAACACACACACACACACACACACACACACACACACACACACACACACACACACTGTCAACTTGCATGAGAGTCATCTAGAGTCAATTGAGAAAATACCTTTGTAAGATCAAGCAAGACTAGGGCATTTTTTTAAATTAGTGATTGATGGGAGAGGGCCCAGCCAATTGTGGGTGGTACCACCCCTGGCCTTATGTCCTGGGTTCTATAAGCAGGTAGGTTGTGTAAGCCATGAGGACCAAGCTACTAAACAGCTCCTGCACCCAAGTTCCTTCTCTATATGAGTCACTGCTTTGATTTCCCTTAGTGATGGACTGTGATGTGAATCCGTGAACCAAATAAACTCCCCAAGTTGCTTTTGGTCATGGTGTTTTATCATAGCAAGTAGAAACCCTAAGATATTGCCTTAGAACACAAATTACACTAGCGACTTTTGCAGTAGTAAATTATTGACAGTGTACATTAATTTTTAAAAGTCCAATTTTTAAAAAATAATGCATATTGTCTGCAATATGTTGGGCCTTATTGGGGGGTTGTATTGCAAACAAGGTTGCTCACAGGCTTGGTGCTCCCACTACTGGATGGTATATGCTATTCTGTTCAGTGTTAGATGCTCATATTTCTGCCATATAATAATACACATCATATAATAATACACATCATAGAAGTGTATATCTGGAAGTGTTAATTGAGGCCAGGAAAGTGTACATAGTTTGAGACTCAGTAGGACAAAGTGAAGTTGGTATGAGAGAAGTCCTTGGTGGCAGGAAAGAGTTGAGTGGTATCTAATAGGAATGTAGTGGCTTAAAATACGACAATAGATATGAGCACAGGCCAGGTCATTTATAGATTTTATTAGTCGTGAAGGATTTGTATATGCTATCTTAAAGCCAATGGGAAACATCAAAAGGCTCTTGTTAAAAGATTTTATTGGCAGGGCTGGAGAGATGGTTCAGTGGTTAACAACACTAACTGCTCTTCGAGAGGTTTTTCAATTCAATTCTCAGCAACCACATAGTGGCTCACAACCATTTGTAATGGGATCTGATACCTTCCTCTGGTGTGTCTGAAGACAGCTACATTGTACTCATATAAATACATTTTGTTTGTTTGTTTGTTTTTTCGAGACAGTGTTTCTCTGTATAGTCCCTGGCTGTCCTGGAACTCACTCTGTAGACCAGACTGGCCTGGAACTCAGAAATCCACCTGCCTCTGCCTCCCAAGTGCTGGGATTAAAGGTGTGCGCCACCACTGCCCGGCATAAAACTTTTTAAAAAGGATTTTTTTTTCTTTTTTTTGCAAACCTCACTGTACTTCTAGGTGTGGCAAACCCACAGCCTACAGGCCACATGTACCTATAATAGCTAATGAGTGTGACCAAACAAAATCTTTAAATAGCTTAAAACATTTTGAGTATTTTTTTGTTTTTGATAGCTTAATTGCACAGGTCTTAGGCATGAACTTTGTTGATAATAATATAGTGCTGCAATATTAAAGGCTGGATGTGCCTGCAAGGTAGAACTGCTCTCATACTGGTTGGATGAAGATCCAAGAACTGATACCCAGAACTCAAGCCCATGTGAAACAGTGATTCACTAAGGTGGGACAGTAACAGCTTAATGGAGGAGGCATAGAGTTTGAAATTGAGTTTGAAATGTCTTCAAGCATTCAAGTAGATGTTAGCCAGGTTATCTAGGACAGAGCATGGCACATGTGCAAGGTGTGGTAGATGGTTTGAGGAAGCATCTACAACTGATACAGACTGGATAGAAGAAGTGGGCCTTGGAAAGACTATGGCAGACAAGTTCTTTTATGGTGAGCTACAGGAGCTGGCAAAGAGGGAATTCATGCTTAGGAATAAATGCAAAGTATATTAAAGGGGGAACACATCTTTGAGAAAAGTTGAGAAAGAAAAGACTACAAGAAAATATAATGACTTGTTGTAGCAGAGGTAACTACCCTTAATATGGCTGGTGTCTGGCCAAGTTTTCTGCATTTGACATGCTAATTGGCTTGTAGAAAGAATTACATTGTTTAAGTTTATAACCTATTAACTTTTCTCTAGTAATGTTTTGTAACTATTTTTAATCATACATGTTTCTGAACCTTTTTCTAAGACCATGTTATCCTAGGAACTCAGCATATTGGAGTTTAAAGCACAGAGCCATGAAAACTTTTAAACCTTTTTACATTTTCATTGTAATATTTAAGAATTATTATAAATATTATTGTAAATCTGTGATGATTTCTTGAGGATAAAAGTATGGAAATGGAATTGCTTGGTAAAGCAGAATACAATTTTTAACCTTTTTTTTGTTATGACTTTTCAAGTTTGTGTTCTAGAAACTTGTGACAGTTTCCTAAATTCTTTATAGAATGTTGGATTTGAGAATTGCTTTTTCTGTCTCTTTGAAGGATTGAGTTGGAATTTTGATGGGGATTGCATTGAATCTGTAGATTGCTTTCCGTAAGATGGTCATTTTTACTAAATTAATCTTGTCAATCCATGAGCATAGGAGATCTTTCCATCTTCTTAGGTCTTCTTAAGTTTCATTCTTCACACATATTTGTATGTTTCTCTGCTTTTGGGTTTGTTGTGAAAAGATTAATTTCTTTCTTTTACTTGAGTGTAGTTTCCCTCCTTGTATTGGGCATTTCCTTCTATTAATTCTCTGTAGGGCTGGATAAGTGGAAAGATATTGTTTAAATTTGGTTTTGTCTTGGAATATCTTGGTTTCTTCACCTATGGTAATTGAGAATTTTTCTGAGTATAATAGCTTGGGCTGCCATTTTTGTTCTCTTAGGGTCTGCATGACATCTGCCCAAGATCTTCTGGCTTTTAGAGTCTCTGTTGAGAAATCTGGTGTAATTCTGATAGGTCTCTCTTTATATGTTACTTCACCTTTTCGCTAGTAGCTTTCAATATCCTTTTTTTGTTCTGTGCATTTGGTGTTTTAATTATTATGTGACGGGAGAAATTTCTTTTCTGGTCCCATCTCTTTGGCATTCTGTAGGCTTCTTTCATGCTATGGGCATCTCTTTCTTTAGGTTTCTTCTATTATTTTGTTGAAGATGTTACTGGCACTTTGAGTTGGAATCTTCACTCTCTTCTATACCTGTTATTCTTAGGTTTGGTCTTTTCATTGTGTCCTGGATTTCCTGGATGTTTTGAGTTAGAAACTTTTTACTTTTTGTATTTATCTTGACTGTTGTGTCAATGTTTTCTATGATATCTTCTGCACCTGAAATTGTCTCTTCTATCTCTTATATTCTGTTGGTGATGCTTGCACCTATGATTCCTGATCTCTTTCCTAGGTTTTCCATCTCCAGGGTTGTCTCCCTTTGTGATTTCTTTATTGTTCCTATTTCCATTTTTAGATCCTGGATAGTTTTGTTCAATTCCTTCAACTCTTTGTGTTTTCCTGTATTTCTTTAAGGGATTTATGTGTTTTCTCTTTATGGGCTTCTACTTGTTTACCTGTGTTCTCCTTTAAGAGTTATTTCTTTAAGAGAGTTATTTACGTCCTTTTTAAAGCCCTCTATCATCTTCATGAGATGAGAATTTAGATCTGAATCTTGCTCTATAGGTGTGTTTGGGTATCCAGGGCTTTCTGTGGAGACTGAACTGGGTTCTGATGTTGCCAAGTAGTACTGGTTTCTGTTGTTTATGTTCATGTGCTTACCTCTCACCATCTTGTTATCCTTGGTGTTAACTGGCCTTGCTGACACTGACTGGAGCCTGTTCTTCCTGTGAGCTTGTGATCCTGTGATCTTGGATGTGTCAGAACCCCTGGTGGGAGCTGCAACTGGGGTGTTGGATTAGTGAGTTGGGATCCAGAGCAGAGGTTCTGCTCCTAGCACACATGCACACCACAAGGAGGGTGGGTCTCTGGCCAGGCTAGTATCTGTATCCTGGGGCCCCAGGGGTTCCGGTTACACTGGGTATGGGGAGATTTTGGGGTGTCACCTGTGATCCTCTATGTGTCAGAATATCTGGGGAGTTGAGCTGCAATTGGGGTGAGGTCTGAGTGGGTTGGGATACAGAATAGAGCCTCTCTTCTTGGCACAGGTGCAAACCGGAAGGAGCTATTAGACTTTTCAAGGAATGCTTCTGCCTATGATTTTTAAGGTTCAGTATGTGGAAAGTAGTAGGGAGCCAGAGAAGTTAGTGGACTTTGGATAGATTCTATTATGCTCAGGTGTCTTTGAACTTTGGAGAAATGATGATGTGTTTAATGCTCTCTGTTTGGTGGTATCATATCTTGAATATTGAAGATTTGAGGATGAAGCTAAAAATTGCAAACTGTTTTCCTTTACTGGTTCTCCAAGATATTAGCATTTGGCTAAACCAAGCACTTAAAGGAGTCCGAGATAGCCATGGGAATGTGATAGAAAATGCTCATCTTCTCACATTATTCCACCGGCTCTGCAAACTCTTGTTTTTTCGTATCCGCCCTATTTTTGTATTTGATGGTGATGCTCCACTGTTAAAGAAACAGACCTTGGTAAGTATCATGTGATGTGATTTTTCTCTTTAGACACCATTAGCAATTTTTAAATATTAAATTCAGTTGCCACATTTTTCCCTTCTCTTTCCTTCCTCCAAACCTTTTCATATATCCCTCCCCAATCTCTTTCAAAATCATGCCTTCTTTCTCCTCTAGTTGTTATTGTATACATAAATGTATATGCATCTGTTCCTAACTATTTGTGTAAGTCTGCCTGCATGGACTTTTTGTTTGTTTCTTTTGTGGAAGTGGAGAGTTCAAGAAAGGGTTTCTGTCTAGCCCTGGCTGTCCTAGAAGTCATTGTGTAGAGCATCCTGGCCTCCAACTCAGAAATCCACCTGCCTTTGCCTTCTGCATGCTGGAATCAAAGGTGCAGCCATCAACCTCCCAGCTTGTATGTTTTCTTTTACTTTTAAAATTATTTTATTTATTCACATCTAAATGTTTCCCTCTTTCCCAGTCTCCCCTCCAAGAATTCTTCACCTTGTAGCTTATATGTTTTCAATGTTTTGATATGTAACCAATTTAATTTAAATTGTTTTAAAAAATTTGTCTTTAACAGTTTTCTTTCTTTCTTTCCTTTTTTTGAAACAGGTTCTCTGTATTGCCCTGGCAAGCCTGTTACTCCCTATAAAATCAGGCTGGCTCTAAACTCTCAGAGATCTTCTTTTCTCTGCCTCCTGATTGCTGGTATTAAAGCCTAGCACCACCATGCCAGGCTTATAACAGTTTATCTTTTAAAAACCTTTATGAGAGTCTGTTATATATGTAGTGGTCAAATTTACCTATTAACTGAAATTACTAGAATTCTGAAAACGGTTTCTTTAGAGTATCTGTTTAGGTGGATTTTGTTGAGCTGGGCTGCTATTGCTCATTGTGGAGCCCCTACTTAAGAGATACCTTTCTGAGGATGGGTTTGAGTGTCCTTGGTGACAGGGAGACAAAACAAGCAGAACAACAGCAAAACTGCAGTAGCACAGGTGACGTAGTCTACTCAGCTGGACGTTTATTATTATATATGCTAAGGATTTCTTCTAACATAGTCTTGAACTTGGGGGGGGGACAAAATTACATACAAATAATACATTTTGAAAATAGTATCAAATGGATTTTGGAATAATTTGTATAGTGTCTAGATTCTTGGTGTTATTAAAGTATATTTACAAGAAACTGATAATAGGTAATAACTTCCCAGATACACTATATATAGGTAATATTTAGGCAAGTGCTCTGTGTGCCCTGTGCAGCACAGAATCTGAATATGGTTTTTGACAGCAGTGAGAAGGAATCACTAGAGCAACTGTTGTCCCTAATTTCAGATGATAAATTGTTAGTACACCATCACCAGACTTAAGACCCCCACATGCTTCATTTTCACAGGCAAAGAGAAGGCAGAAGAAGGATTCTGCATTCATTGACTCGAGAAAAAACCACAGAGAAGCTTCTGAAAACCTTTCTAAAGAGACAGGCTCTGAGAACTGCCTTCAGAAGCACAAGGCAAGAGGAAGACCACAGCAGCTGCAGACACTCACTGAACTCTGCTCTTCTCTTGTCTCATTTAACAATAGGGAAGGAAAGTCAGGAGAGGAGTGAGCAGATAGATAGCATTGGACTTGGGGATGCGGAATTGTGGCTAATGAGGAAGAAACACTGATTGCTTCCTCCTTTAATTAACTAGTTTACTGATTTATGTGGTTTCTAAGAGTTGTGGGGAATGGAACACAGGGCTTCACATGTGCTGTGCAGGTGCTCTCCTATGGAGTTCACTGAAACCCAACTTGACTTTGATAGAGCCCTTCCTGACTGTAGCTGGGGCTGTAGCAAAGGCAGTGAGCAACTTTAGTGAGTTTCCCTTTCCTTCCACTTGGTTGTTAGTTGTGACAACAATAGCTTAGGGGAAATCGAGGCTGGGAGGGGAAAGCCAGACAAGGGAAAGTCAGCCACTGTCCTTGAGCAGGGTTTGAATAACCAGTGGGAGAAGAGGACTGACTCAAGATGCATTGCAGATGATTTTGTTGACCATTATGTGTGCTTTCCAGAAATGAAGTGCTACCCAGTCTTACTCAGGTTCAAAGAGAGGATGACATCTATGTTTTGCCACCTTTACAAGAGGAAGAAAAACATAGGTAAATGTTTAAATACCAGGGAATATCACTTTAGGGGCTGGGGAAATGGCTCAGTTAGTAAAAGACTTGACACACAAGTATGAGGACCCAAATTCTATGCGTAGCACCCACATAAAAAGCTGGGCATACTGGCATCAAATGCCTATAATCTCAGACTGGGATATCTCTAGGGCTTCCTTGACTTATAGGGGTTATCCTTATGTACATTGAGATTATCATTTAGTATCTCTGTCTTCTAGGATCACTGTCCATCCATGTAAAGTATCTGTGTTAAATTTCTATTTTTTAAAATTATATATTTAAACTAATATATAAAGTATTGGGTTTCGATATGAAACTTTTTTAGATACTTTTGGTTATCCCACCTGTATCCTGACGTCTTCCCTTACTCTGCCCCTACCCATGCTTAAACCGTTAACTCTCAGTATCCCTCACCCTTCATACTGTACTTACATAATTTTGTTCTCATGCTGATTCTGCCTGTTTCTTAGCTTTCTTTCATCTCTCTCACTGCCTAGCTAGATTACCACGTATAATGACCTTGCTGCTAGATACATGGACACTTAGCACTTCTCAGTGTACCTGGCTTCTGTGCCCATGTGGCTACCATGTCATACTGACCTGCATTCCTGCATGCCATGCTGACCTGGATTCCTGGCACCTTCCTAGTTGTTCCTTTACAGTTTTTCCATGAGTCTCTGCTGGCTGTTAGTCCTCAAGGTGTCTGTTTGAAGTGTTGGTGAACGAGAAGTCTGGACAGTTTTTCTTTGACCTTAGCCTCTCAGTCTCTTCTCAGGTGCTCCTTGGCAACAAAGTAGCTTTTGTATTGGTCCTCTTCTTTTTTTTTTTTTTTTTTTTTTGGTTTTTTTCGAGACAGGGTTTCTCTGTATAGTCCTGACTGTCCTGGAACTCACTCTGTAGAGAGGCCTCGAATTCAGAAATCTGCCTGCTTCTGCCTCCCAAGTTCTGGGATTAAAGGTGTGTACCACAACCGCCTGGTGGTCCTTTTCTTTCTCTACATGTTGTCCTCAGTCTCTCCTCTCAGGCATCTTGGTAGTGCTAATATTTTTTTTCTGTTTCATCCTTGAAAAACTTCTGTTTTACACCTTTGCCTCAGCTCCCCACCTCCTGTTGTAGTAATAATTATTTAATGTGGCCTCTGGTTAATCTGACTATCTAAGCTGCAGCAGCTCTGCCTAGCCCAGCCGCCATGTTTCTCAGCCGGAGGCCACGTTCGTATTGCAGCTTGAAATGGCCAACTAGAAACACCAGCCCTTCCACCCACAAACGTCAGCGTGGGACATGGCTCAATCTCCCACACTGTCTCTGCAAGGCTGGGCATTGCCTAGACCATCCCACCATCCACACAGGCTCAGTAGAAAGATGAGACTCTAATGCTTAAAGATTAATCAAAGGCTTATATATTTGATAATGATCAGTAACAAGATACTCATACAATCAGAAGTGTAACCCAGTACCCAACCTAGATATACCAACTGCCTTTGACTGCTACAGACACATGGACATCCGCCTCCATCTCCTCTCTTGGTCCCTTCTCCTTTTTCCTCTTCCTCTCCTTACTCCTCCCACCTTAGATCCTCCTATACCTCCCAGCACATTATGTTTTGTCCTCTACAATTCTGATATTGTGATTTTCTTTCTTACAAAACTTAATACTATTTTTTTCTGGATGTTTTGGTTTGTTTGTTTGTTTGTTTGTTTTTTGAGCAGAATTTATCACCGTAACCAGCTCTGGATATCCTGGACTCCCTCGTAGACAAGGCTATCCTTCAATGTGTAGAGATCCATCTGCTTCTGCCTCCCAAGTGCTGGGATTATAGGCATGCACTATCATGCCTGGCTTTTTCCCCCCTCTGCATTTTAAAAAATGACAAATACTCAATATATGTCCTAGACTGACCTTGAATTTGCTGTATGGTCCAGGCAGGCCATGAATTTATAATCCTCCTGTGCTGTGTAACCTTCTCAGTGCTGGGGTTACAAATCTGTATTACCATGCCAGGCCTAGTTTGTCATTTCTTCAGGATAAACTTTCAGACCTTTAATCACTCTTCTTAAACCTCATCCCCTGGTCTTCTCACTGTCATGGGACAAATTTTCTTCTCCTTGTTTCCAGATACTGTAGAACTCAGTTCATGTACTTAGAGTACTACCTTGCATGTACCTCTCTTATATCCTACATTTTGGACTTTTGTTTATTCAATGCAGATCCACCAAGGTAATTGTAGGAGATATTGGAAAGCTTCCATGACTGTCTGTATTAATCACGTTTATATTTCTGTGATAAAGCACCATGACCAAGGCAACTGATAAAAGTGTATAGTTGGGGATATAGTTCCAAACAGTTAGAATCTATTATGACAGAATGAAGGCATGGCATCAGGAACAGGTGAGAACTCATACCCAGAAGCTTAGTGGAAGCCCTAGAGTATACTGGGGATGGTGGGGACTTGAGGTCTCAACCCCTGTAACATGCCTCCTTTAACAAGGCCATACCTCCTAATCCTTCATAAATAGTTTCACCAACTAGGTGCCAAGTGTTCAAATGTATGAGTCTGTGGGGGTTAATCCTACTTAAGCTACCATGCTTTCCAAAATATTTTAGATGATTTACTCTTTAACTTCCTTTTAGCATTCTTCTCTTCCTTGTGGATGGAGTTTGGAATTCATATTGCAGTTGTTTACTTGCACGTGTCCCTCACCAAGTGGAGTCACAGTCTTCTCATCCTACTCACTGTTGTAGACCTTGAGCTCAGGAAGTGTTTTTAAGTTTTTGTTAAAAATCATAGATGTTAAAATTATATTCTTGACTTACAGTTCAGAAGAGGAAGATGAAAAGCAATGGCAAGCAAGAATGGACCAAAAGCAAGCTTTGCAGGTACTCACATAACATGGAAATTCACAATGGGTGTTTTTATTTGAAATGATGAAAATGAGTAATCCTTGTGAGGTATGATTTATGAAAGTTCCCAGTGAAAAGTAACGATAGCTGCCGCTTTAACTGTTTGTGTTTCTGATTTTACATATGTATATAATGTATATGTATGTATATATGTAAAATCCACACTTTCCCATGCATTTCATGCACTTGTATATTGAATTTGGCATTATGTACTTCTTTCTTTCTTTCCTCCTCCTTTTTTTTTTTTAATGAATATTTTGAGACAGGGTTTCTCTTATATTTTTGGTTGTTAGCCTAGCCTTTAATGGCTGAGCGATCTCTCCAGCCCTTGACAAGGTTTCTTTATGTAGGACAGGCTGACCTTGAACTCAGAGTTCAGCCTGATTGTGCTGCCTCCCATGTGCTAGGACTGTAGTTGTTCAGCACCATGTCCAGCTTCATTATGTATTCCTGTATATCCAAAGTAAACTTTTTTTTTCAAAACAACTGACCTTTAAAGAAGTAAATATGCTTCTTGAGAATATAAGAATACTTTCTTGGGGCCAAGAATATGTAACTTGGTGATAGAATGCTCACTTTCCATGCATGACACCCTAGATTCTATCCCCAGTGCCACAAATAAATGCAAAAACAACTGTCTTTATATTTAAAAATGACTTGTAACTTTTTGGCATATTTAAGACCATCCCCTGTACAAGATATATATGGATGTTTACATTTGTATATGTTTATGCCTGTGCATATGTTCTACTTACCTTTTGCAGTACAACTTAGTGGTCATTTTTACCATCCTCTGCTATACTTCTTAGGGTTGATAAGCCCAGGGGGTCAGGTGGGTGCTTGTCTCTTGAAGTCTTCCATGCAGATGCTTTCAGAATGTAGCTGGGACTGAAGTCACTTCATGGCCTCTCTCACAAGCTGTACAACTCCTGGTTGGCTCTGGCTATCACTGAAGCTGATTGCTACAGTTTCGTCTAGCCTCCATGTGGTCTGTGTTATTTACTAGCACGGGGGTGTTCTAAGGGGAAGCATCCAAAAGGAGATCCTTGACAAGATCTGTGTTGTGTAGGCTTAGATTTTTCAAACCTACTTTAATAAGGGTTCTTAAATGCTTCAACCTCCCTTCTAGCCCACTGACCAAAAGGTAGGGGAGAAAGATGGTAAATAGGACAGTGGGGATGTAATCTCATTCAGAAGTAGTTCTTTGGGGAGATTCCAAACATGAATCAGTAGCAGCAGTCCTTTCAAATTGGCAAACACCAATCATGAGCCAGTAGTAGCTGCTTGATCCAGAAGAAACTGCAAGGCTCTGCTGAATTGTCTGGAAGAGACTAGAAGTAGCCGAAATACCATGAGAAGTTACTTGGTGCGTTTCTCTCGATGAAGTCATGACAAGAGAAGATCAGCAAAGACCAGCAAAGTGTTGCAAGGCTGAACCAATCCAAGAACATCCATTCACTGTCTGTGAGGTTATATTTATATTCTTTTTAACCAGTACATACTCTTTCAAGCTCCAGCAAAGCATCATATTCACACTCATTTGTCTGCTTCAGCAAAATATCCTGTCATGTGTTTACTTCAGCAAAACACAAGACAACTTCCAGAAAACACCACATGTCTGTTCTCAGCAAACCATTATATATCCTCTTACAAGACAGCTTCCAGAAAAACATCACATGACACACAACTGAGTTGTTAGAGAAACCAGAAATGTCCACTTTAGTGTTGCTTTGCTTTGGGAGTTTTATCCTTTCCAGCACTGTTGAGACTTGGTCTTTTTCTATGCTGGTTTTCTATGCTGGTTTCTAACACTGGTTGTTTCTAGAGACCACAGGTAAGCCAAGGTAATGCTATGTGATGTTGCCCCCCAAGTCATCCCTGATTGGTGAATAAAGATGCTGACAGCCAGTAGCTGGGCAGAAGAGACATGGTCTTGGGGTTGGAGGAGAGCCATGAGGAGAAAGAAAAATGTGGAGAGGAGTAAGATGCCAGGAGTTAGGAGTCAAGAAAACATGGCCATGAGAGCTGGGCAATTGGAGTTAAGAGCAGCCCAGATGAAACAGTAATTAATAACTCGGGGTTACTGATAGGAAGTAGATTTTAATAGCATAGAGGACAGATATCTTTCCAGCATTAGTGGTAATAAAGGCTTATTACAAATTTAAAGATCATCTGTGTCTTTTATTTGAAAACTGAATAATCAAAGACATGGTAGAAGCTTCTAATTGAGATTAAATATTTTCAACAACACACCACATCCTTGGCTACATGTTTTCAGGGTAGTACCTATAAGGGAAGAATGTCAAGAAAAGAGTCAAAGACTGCTCATGTGGTAAAGCTATCATCACACATATTAGTGAGTACTGCCTTTAAACACTGATGTTACACACATTGCTCCTTTTTTTTTTAATTTATTTTGAGACAGGGTCTTGTTAGTAGCCTAGGCTCACCTACAACTTGTAGTACTCCTGCCTTAGTCCCTGAAAAGCTGAAATTATAGTATAAAGCACAACTACTCCTGGTTCTTGAACAAGTTTTTGCTTTTTTTTTTCTTAGATTTCCTTTTTTTTTTTTTTTTTTAAATGTGTGTAGGTGTTTTACCTGCATGTTTGTCTGCAGCACATACATGCAGAGTCTGTGGAGATCAGAAAGAAGATATCAGATCCCAGGGAACAGACATTTGTGAACCAGAGTGTGGGCTGCTGGGAATCAAGCCTGGATGTGTTGGAAGAATAGCTGGTGCTTTTCATTGAGCTATCTCTCTAGCCCCCATGGCACAAGTTTTTTGAATGAACAGTTTTCTCAAGCATATTAAAGCCTGGTGGTGGTGGCACACGCCTTTAATCCCAGCACTTGGAAGGCAGAGGCAGGCAGATTTCTGAGTTCGAGGCCAGCCTGGTCTACAGAGTAAGTTCCAGGACAGCCGGGGCTATACAGAGAAACCCTGTCTCAAAAAATCAAAAAACCAAAAAAAAAAAAAAAAAATCAAGCATATTAAAGTAGTAGAAAACATTCTTTGACTCTCAATGTCTTATGATTTCAATATGTCTGGTAGTAGACTTTTCAGCTAAAACTGTGCATCAAGTGTTAGCAAGTGGTCTTGGTTAAGACAGAGGATCTTGTGGTCAGGACTTCAGAGTTCACACAGGCTGTGTGATTTAAACAAATTAAATTCTTTAAGGTATTTTCTTAAAAAATATAAAACTAATGTGAGCATAAAAATGACTCATATCCACAAGTCTTATCCTTATCTCATGGCACACTTGTTTTTCCTCAGCTTAGGATCCCCATCTGCATCAGATTCTTGATGTTTTTCAAATCTCTGCCCACAACATCTGTCTGGTAGGGTTTTCTCCATCTAACCCATAAGACTTATTTCCTTTTTGTTTCCTTGATTACTCTCATCAGACCAGCCTGTTGGCTGTTCTAACAATTAATTTTGCTTATTTATTTACCTGCTGATATGCCTTGCTCTACTCCTAAGATCAGGGCACTTACATACATAATCACACAGTACCCCAAGTCTTAGAAAAGATCTGGGTGGTATTCAAGTGCCAGGCAAGTAGTTTGCTTTGGTGTGAATGACCAAATCAAGGGATTTATCGCTCATCTGCTTCTTCACTGTAATGCCTGTTGCAGAACATAAACTTCTGTGTGTAGATTGTGTGGGGCTATATCTATCATATAAACACACTGAGTATTTGTAGCAATGACTAGACCTAAATGTGTACATATACATTTAATGATGTTAACATTTTACTCTTTATAGGAAGAATTCTTTCATAATCCCCATGCCATAGATATTGAGTCTGAGGACTTCAGCAGCCTGCCTCCTGAAGTAAAGCATGAGATCTTGACTGACATGAAAGAGTTTACCAAGCGAAGACGAACATTGTTTGAAACAATCCCAGAGGTAAAACACAGAGCAGGGCACAACAGCACGCCAATGCTTAAGAATTTGAGCAAAGCTTCACAGAAAGAAGAGAAAATTGGGAAGTAGTACTTAGAGTCTAAGTCTCTAATTTAGACAGTATCCCAGTTGCAAGGACACAGCATCTGTGTCTCTCAGGTCACATGAGACATTATTTGTTTATGCATTTACTATAATTCATAAACAGTCAAAGAAGTCTTCTGTACTCTGCATCCAAGACTAGGCCTTTTCTTCTGTGTGTCCTCAGCACACTGTAACATAGTATTGTAGTGCTCAGCACAGAGCATGCTTATCCTGATAATGGCTACATTCTCAGCAGGTAACTCAGTGTTTCACATAGTAAGTGTCCAGAACCATATGATTCTCGGGCTAGTTCATAAAAGTTACTTCACACCACAACATATGTTATGTACAAAAAATAACTGTCACATGGAAAATACTTCCAAATTGAAATTCCAGATACAGGATTGTGTGTGTTCATCTCTTTCTTTGTGAATAATAGAGACAGAATGGCATGAATGTGGTTATTTCAAAGTCACAGGAAGCTAGAGCAGGTGTGGTGTACATGGTTGTGTGTTGGTGAATGTGTCCTGTTCATGTTGCTGTTGATTACTTGGTTTATGCTGCCATTGAGCACTTGGTATCTTTAGTTCCTGATGCATGAGTTCCATTTCCCTTCCTTTTGCCATCACCTGCTACTTTCAGCAGTTCTCCAACACTGAGGTAGAATGTAAAATTAGCAATTTATGTAGTTGCTTGGTTTTTGTTCTTTTACCTTGCTGTAGACTTTAGGATACTTTTTACTTTGGTGTCAGAAAGATGAAAAAGATGGATATATCACTCATTTTTGGTTTTCTATGTAGTTAGAATAAAAAAAAATAATAAGGTACATGGAAATGATGTTATTGTAGGTTTTTGGTTACAAGAAATTTAATTTTGTAGAAATTTAATTTTAATTTTGTAGGTTATAGTAGGTTTTTGGGTACAAGAAATTTATTTTTATTTCAGGAGACAACAATCTAGGCTCCATCTTTTTTTCAGGCTCATGTCTTCACAGATGCGAAGAATAATTAAGTATGAGTGGTAGAACTTGTACTTGAGTGGAAGGGAGAAATATAGCCTCTAGTGATTTTCTCTTTTTCTTTGTGCAACCATGATATTGCTAGGGTTGGAAGGCTGGGATGGTTCCATAAGTAGAGAAGTTCTGAGTAGTCTAGAGTAGACCTTGGTATGACTTATGTATCATGTACATGTGATGTTGATAGGAGAAGATCCATGTCCTAATAGCAGCGATAGTCATTAGACTAATAATAGACTCAGTTGTAGTAAGTCAGCTGTCTGAGGGCTCCCATGTTAGTCTAGTGTTGAAGTCTCAAGCCTATCATTTGCAGATGGAGGATAGGAAAATGTCTCATTGGATGTCTGTAAAAATAAGTCAAGGTAGTTAATATAAAAGTACTTGGAATGTCCTCAATAGGAAAGGCTTTATTCATATTAACTATGATTATTAATACCTCTGATTGATTTACTTGGTGTTGTCTATGGACCAAGGACAATGCTGGACACTTCACTTATATTCTAGAAGGTTATGTTTTGCTGAGCCACCATCACATGTCTTACCACAGCCATGTAGCCTAGTTCAGCAAATAATTTTTGAATAAATGATTAAATAATAAAAGATATTTCATAATTTCATTTGCTTAATTCTTTCTTTAAAGTCTGTTATAATACCATGTATATTAATAACAGTACTTTGGAGGCAGAGGTAGAGGGATTTGCACAATTTCAAAGTGAGCATGTTCTATATAGTGAGTTCCAGGCTAGCTTGGGCTACATATTGGAAGACTATCTCAAAAACAACAACAACAAAACAAAAAATGAAGTTAACAGTGGAGTCCCCTTAATTTTCAAGTTTTCTTTTTATACTGTGAATTATACCTTCTGAGAATAAACCAGACAGTGGTGGTCTTAATCTGTGTTAGTGTAAAGCAACAATTTTCTTTTTATTTTGTCCCTAGGAGTCTAATGACTTTTCACAGTATCAGCTGAAAGGCTTGCTTAAGAAAAATTACTTAAACCAGCACATAGAAAATGTCCAAAAGGAAATGAACCAGCAACATTCAGGACAAATCCAGAGGCAATATGAAGATGAGGGAGGCTTTCTGAAGGAAGTGGAGTCGAGGAGAGTGGTCTCTGAAGACACTTCACACTACATCTTGATAAAAGGTACCAGGTGCCATAATTGATTTGACAGCTAAAATTCATGCAGTGTGCTCCGGTTGTCATGCCTTCCCTGCAATGATGGGCTACATTCTTCTGTGCCAGTCAAAGCAGAGACAGATCATATGAGAGCTTATATCAAGAGAACTGTACTCTCCTGTACAACCGGTTCTGACCCACATTTGAGGGCCACTATGTCCTGGCCGTTCAGGTCAGTCAACAGGGTCTAACAAGGGAGAGAGTGGGGATAGAGGGGCAAGAGAGAGTGGGGCAAGAGACGCAAAGGATGGAAACAAGACGAGTCTGTTCAAGTCCCTTTTTTTGAAAGGAAATCCTGGGTATTTATACTCTTTACCAGGTGCCTTGCTGCTGTGGACAAGCAGCGGAACACAACTGGAGGCACTATGCAATGTGCCTTGCAGCGTGGATACCACAGGCGCCGTGCAGCTGGGGGCATTAAACAACAAAACAAGATATGTGAGAAAAACAAGATGTTTATCAGAGTGTACTTAGCTGTTGTGGGCTGTTGAAAACAAGTCTCTTGTCAGGGTATATGGCCTGAGATGTCTGGAAAGATGATAGCCACTTTCTGCTAGGAGTCAGCTCCCAACACTCTCCTGTGTTATGTCTTATTCAGCTGTATTTTTAAATACAGCTGCTGTGTGCTTATAATTCTGATGGCCATCCCATTTTTAAAACAGCATTTTATAGGGTTTCTTCCATCTTCAGGTTCCCTCATTCTTTCTACCCCACACCTACTTTTGAGATGTTCTCTGGGCATGCATTGTTGTGTGTGTGTGTGTGTGTGTGTGTGTGTGTGTCTGTCTGTCTGTCTGAGCACTTAGCAGTTGCTCGTTCCAGAACCCTTCATTGACTGTTACTCTCTTCAGGGAGGAGGCTAGCAGCAACACTAGTCTTTAGGTACAAATGTGGGTGTTTAGGAAGCAGTTGGACTACTTGTCAAGTTAGAAAAATATCAGCAGTATATTCTCCTTCAGAGCCTGTGACCTCTCTGTAGCCATGAGTTTTTTACAGGGTATTCAGTCTTAGACATATCATACCTCCTGTGGAGTGGGTCTCAAATCCAGTTGAACAGCATATTGACTGACCTCAGTATTCCTGCCACTGTTGCACTAATGTGTACATTTTGTTTGTTACGTCAGAATTGTAGCACACAGGGTTCACCACTGGGAAGCAACCTGCCTAGTACCTTTTAGTACTGTGGAGAGAAGGGACTTACAGCTCACTTCCAGCTTCATTTTTCTGTGTCCTGTGTCTAGGGTGTATAGTGTCATTTGCAGTAGGACTTTAATATCTAGTTCTGGAGGAGAACAAAGCGCAACAGCAGTGGACTGTATTGTTTTGGGAACTCCATGGGGCTGTCATGGGGCGTGTTCTGCAGTTAGAGCTAGGATTTTTGTTCAAGACCCTCTGGCTTCTTGCAGCAACATTGCCAACTCATTCAGGGTACTTCAAAGTGTTTGTTTGCTTTTTTTTTTTAATTGGATGTTTTATTTACATTTCATGTTATCCCCTTATCCCATCCTCCACCCACCCAGGAACCCCCTATCCCCTCACCCCTCCTCCTGTTTCTCTGTCAATGTACCCCAACCTACCCACACCTCTCCCATTCCCCCCACCCTCAAATTCCCACCCCTTGGGGCATCCAGCTTTCATGATACCAAGGATCTCTTCTCCCACCTATGCCCAGCAGGGCCCTCCACTCTTACATATACAACTGAAGCCATGGATCCCTCCCTAAGTGCTCCCAGGCTGGTGGTTTAGACCCGCTTGTTTGTTTTTTAAATTGTGTTTTTTGTTTTATATAGTGGTGCATTTCCATGTGGTTTTTGCATGCATCTTTGGTTTTGATTGACTGTTCCCACCTAAAACTTTTATCTTTCTTCTATTCTTCAAATTCCTTTCTTAGTTAAAACTTTCTGCCTTCTTTTATCATATGGAGAAACACTACTTTTCAAAAATGAGAGGAAATGAAGTAACATAATGAGTTGTGGTATGATAGAGAAAACAAGTTGAAATCATAGAATTTAGAAGCAAGCATGGGCTTGATTTCCAGTTCTGCTGCTTAATTCTTGAGCAAGTGGTCTAACCTCTGTGACTCTTTACTTTCCTGCCAGGTAGGTTGAGAACCCTAATGCCACTTTGTTCTATAAGCTGTATCAGATCTTATCTGTAAAATGTCCAATAACTGGTGGCTTCTGTTATTTATCAGTTTATTATACATATTAACTACATAAGGTAGAGTTTTGCTCCCATTGACACTAGAACATCTCAAATATTTTCTCAGACTTTTGACCTTTTTTTGTGGTGGGTTCAAATGTAATATCTTCTTTAAAGTAAGACATTAACAAACACACAAATAAATAAATAAACAAATAAAAATAATAAAAATTTTGAATCAGAAGGCTGTCTCAGACTACCTCATTACTCTACACCATTTTGATAGAGTTTCATCAACTCTATCAAATAAATATATTTCTGTTTTCTTAATTGTTGCTTTTCCTTGGGAAGGAGTTTTGAAAATTTTTCAATTAAGATTGATTACTTTTTTGAATTTTACTAATCATTAAAATGATACATAGAAAGATCATCTTATAAATTTAAATGCACATGTGTGAGGACTAACACAAGGATTTGATTTCTTGTTTTTACAAAAACAAATAAGAAAATTAAAGATGAAATTACGTTGTTTTTTATTATTTTTTACAATATCCTAAATGTATTTTTTCTTCTTTTTTTTAAAATTAGTAACTTTTTAAAAATGTTAATCAAAGGCTTTATAAGTTTCGTAATGCTCAATCACAAGATGCCCATACAATCAGAAGTGTAACCCAATACCCAAACTAGTTATACCACCTATCTTTGACTGGCGGAGACACACAAATATCAACCTTCATGTTCCTCCCCTCACACCTCTCTCTCTCTCTCTCTCTCTCTCTCTCTCT